TCCAATGTTGTCCCTGGATTCCACTCCATGATGATAGTCACATCAAAACACGCCTTCCTACACCAAAATCCAACATAAAATGGACGATTCTCCTTGCCCGCAGAGGTATCTTCTACAAACAAAATATCTTCTACAAACTCCGGCAAACACGTTCAAGTGTATTTGCTCAACAAAACATTTAGGCCACACCTCTTATTTATGTTTTCGAACATTGTTCAGTAACCTTAGCACGAACCAATATCAAATTTTGTATGGAAACCTGAACAGCAGCGCCACAAAGTCCGAAATGTCAATGTCAAATCTGTACTGATTTTAGTTCTTCTCGTTACGTACGTGGGAGACGGATCAGAAAGTTTTGAGAAACTAAAAAACTAACTTCTATAAAAAAAATATAAAATCTTTTCAATGAACTCTCCACCAAACTCTAAACAAAGTTTCATGCGTCTGAACTATAGAGGTATAAGAATGGAGTAGGGGAGATATAGACTCTACGGGTGCGGCCAGAGTGCACTCAGATTCAGATTCAGATTTCGAAAACAAGCGCGAGAAATAAACAGTGTAGTCTAAGCAGGTTGCCTGCTTTTTCTCGCGCTTTGTTTTCTGAGTCTGAATCTGAATCATTAGTGCACTCTGGCCGTACCCTTCGACTACACTGTTTATTTCTCGCGCTTGTTTTCGGAATCTGAATCTGAATGCACTCTGGCCGCACCCTACTACAAGTGGAAGTGTCCCTCTTATAGAAAGAGAAAGAAGATGAGAGACCGCTAGCTTTGGCAACCGTAAGCATCTTACTATTTTGGATGTGCCATTGGATGCCATGCGTCACAAGAGAGAGAGATAGCTAGCGGTCTCTCATATCTTCTTTCTCTTTCTACTAGACGGACACTTTTAGAGGTGGGTTACACGATCAGCTTGGCATCAGTTCAGTCCAGACTTATGGACTGATAGTCAGATTACACGGTTAGTCCAGACTGATGACAGTCATCCCAAGAACTTAGTCGCATGTGAACGATTTTCGCATAATAGCGAAAAGCCATGGGTCAATCTAAAAAACTACTACATACAATATAGTCAATGCGTTTGCCGCGCCGATATTGTTTGTTCTGTGACGTTTGGATCATCATAATAATTTCTGAAGTCTAATTTTGCATTCTGGGGGGATTTTTCTTCAAAAACCTGTATTTTGGGGGGATTTCGGGTAAGTTTTGATTTTGGGGGGAAGGCGAAATGACTTTCTGGTAACACTGGCAGACACGTCTTCCACGGCCTTCTCAAACTCTGCTTGCGCTTCTTTGAAAACTGTATGCCTTTGAGCTGATTTTTTATTTAAGGGAATAAAAAGAAGTCACTCGGAGCCAAATCAGGACTGTAAGGAGGATGTCCCAAGACTCTGACTGGTGTGGAGTCCAGGAAGTCCTTCGTTTTGATCGCAGAGTGCGCGGGCGCGTTGTCGCGGTGAAGAAGGACCCCGCGGAGCCCGGTATTATGTCGCTTGGTGCTCATTGCAGAAAAAACTTCTGGCAGGCATTTTGTAGCGGTAGATGGTTGCTTTTGTAGGTCCCTCATCCATAAAAGCAGTTCCAAATCGATCAAATGACTCATTAGGTTTTAAGCCACATTTAAAATCGTAAAAAATCATAGCACGAAAATGTTCTCGATGCAGATCAATTTTTAATGAGAAAAATTTCATTGGCTCTCAAAAATTTCGGAGGGAGAAAAACGAACATTACTGCTTTTACTCTCAAATAATCGAAGTTTTCAATATAATTACAAATGGCCAGTATCTTAAACATAAAAACTTTTTTTCGAAAAACTTTCCGAATGGCCTGGTACTTTTTGGCGCTGCTGTTTAAGTTTCCATACAAAAGGACAATGGGCAAAATTGCATGGACACTGCACCCACGTCCGCCACGGCTTAAACTACATTTGTTTGAAAGGTATCATAGTCATGATCATTTGTGCCAAAGCGCATCAAATTCCATCCCGGGAGTCTTTAGTTATTTTAAGTTAAATAGGTACAATTCCATAGGTAAAAGTAACAATAACGAACATAATATTTAAAGATACAAGGACGAGTATATAGAACGGATATATTAATTGACGATCACGGAGGTCGTCAATTAATATATCCGAGTCGAGTGGTTTGTACGCCGGGTTTCATGGTGTCGCTGGCTCGAGAGGTCCCGGGTTCGAATCCTGGTGGGGGCAGATGTTTGTGTGCTGAGTACGAGCATTTAAATTGATCCATAGATTTTTTATTAGCTCGTACGATTATAATGACGTACGCGATGATAATCGTGTTCCTATTTCTAAAGCGTGTTAGTTAAATATCAATGAAATAACAGGGAGCGCACAAAATGTAAGACATAGGACTGCATACGAGTAGACTAGTTGCAACGGCAACTGCAATATCACATCCTTCAACCCCCATACCCTGTTAGACGTTTTGAGGAGTCTCAGTAAGTGCAAGCAGCAAGCAAGCAGCAAGCAAGCAGGATAGTCGGTAGGCTTTGTTGTTTAGTATTTTGTATCTGGTTGTACAGTAATATATGATTCACTCACTTATTATTGCTAATATTATAAAACGAAAGAACTATTGATATTGAATGAATTTCTTTAGCTATTTAAATATCATCACCATCAGCCTATTAATGTCCCCACTGCTGGGGCACAGGCCTTCCCTATGGATGAAATAGGGAGATTGGGCCATGACCCACCACGCCGGCCCAGTGCGGATTGGCGGGTGCTAACGACTGCAGATGCAGCCGGGACCAACGGCTTAACGTGCCTTCCGAAGCACGGAGGAACTCGAGATAGATGTTTTTGGTCACCCATCCAATGACCGACCACTGCGGAAGTTGCTTAACTTCAACGATCGCAACCGAACGCGCTAACCACCTGCGCCATCGAACTTCTCTATAAGGAGCTATTTAAATATGCCCGTGTGTAACCGGTCCCCATGACTTATAAGGACTATGTGCAGAAACCTTAACCCCTAATATAGAACATACCCAGGTGTATATCTTTTGACCCCCAGGTTATTTTTTTTTGGTGCCATAATAAAAAAGGCTAGTTTTTCATAGATCTATCGATTCATACTAATTACATTGTTGGCGGAGCTGGGTGCGTTTTGCTCATTGTCCTTTGACATTGACATTTAGCACTAGCAAACTATTCGAATTCGATAATGGTTCGTGCTCCCTAGCTCCAAAGTCTAAAGGCGTGTAGCGCCATGTTTTGAACAGTACCCCTGTACTGTTCAAAACATGGCGCTACACGCCTTTAGACTTTGACAGTGAATTGTAATAAGAGAGCGTTTAAAGAGGAGACAACAAAGACATTTAGAGAAAATAAGCATAGGTTTGATCTGGAGCTTCTCGTCGCCAAAGACTTGAATCTTTGCTCGTCCCAAGCAAATTACCTATATCTTGACTTTTTTGGCAATTTTAGGGGGATACCAAATCAGGGCAGTCCATTATACTATTAGCCAGCTTATACGAGAAAACATTATCCAAAATAAATCGGCGATCGCCAGCAGAGGTGGCGTAAGGCGTGGGCGATGTGGGCCACCCAGCTCATGGTGCATAGGGCGTTGCGCCCCACATCCGAAAATATTAAAAAAAAATGGAAAATCTACAAAGGTTTTCTTATAATAAAGGATTTCTCAATAGGAGTGCACTTTTTCATTTCAAAATAAAATCACGTATTTTTTGAGAAAGCTGTGATTTATTGGATTGCCAAAAGGACTTGTTCCGATAAGTATGGAATTAAATAAGTGTCTGAAGTTAGACTTTATTAAACAAAGTATCAAATTGGAGCCGACTTAACTTATTCCAATTTAACCCTACGAAAACACAGGTATGCGCGATTACGGCAAAATAAATATGATTTTTCGTATTCCCTCGTTTTGAGAACAATCCTTTAACTGCCTCAGCTATATTGTAATTCTTGGCGTTGACATATCGAGTGACGTTCAGTTTTGGGACTATTTGGAGAGCAGGACCAAGTTGGCCTTTAAGATACTTGGTGTGCTCAATAGGCCGGAAAAGTACTTCACACCGGCCCAACGACTGCAACTTTATAAGATACAGATTCGGCCTCACATGGAGTTCTTTTCTTATCTTTGGGCGGGGGCACCCAAGTACCAGTTTCTCCTTCTGGATCGCATCAAGCGCCGAGTGGCTTGAATCATCGACGACAAGAATCTTTCCAATTAGCAGAGCTTTTCAATCTTTCGGCAGAGCCAAAAAACGATCAAGGCTCTGCGTAGGGATAAAGATTCGCTCTGCATCTTCTATCGCTTTATCACGGGGAATGTTCTTTTTTCGGATTCATAGCAGTTGCTGCTTTTCGCCATCGTACAACTCGACAAATTTTCATTCCTATCTTGATGCGTGGCTATCCACACCCGTGCAATTTTGCGATTTTTTTTAACAAAGTAGTAGTATTTTTTTTTAACTACGTACGACAAAACTGTAGAATACATTCTCGCCAGCAGTGCTGCCGGACCAAGACGGCCCGAAAACGCGCCTACCCTTGCGGTGTTAGCAGAATACTAGCGTCGCAGCGCGGCATTTTGCAGAGCGAAAGCCATTTTCGTACAGTAGGATTTGATATCTGTTTTTATTTTCATTGGTGTCTTTTTTTTTACTGTAAGTAACAGTTTCTACCCACTTACCAAATAAATATTTCCCTAATTCTATTCTATTCTTTAAAATCTAGGTAATATTATATTGGTCAACAATGTAACAATATAAAACATCGACAAACTTCCTAAACTTCGTTTTCTTTTACAATCCTGGGGAAAAAATCCCAGAAATTAGTGATTTCTTCAGTTTAAGTTATGGAGATCATTACAATACCACTTGCTTAAGTAAACACGTTCTTATTTTATTGTTCCAAAAGGTGTTTAAAAAATAGTCTTAGCAAACAATCAATCAAGCAATCGAATGACGATGTAAGAACTCGTTTGGTTAGTTCGGTCGGTGACTACTAATGACGCAGTTGCGCGTGCGCCATCGGCGTGATAGGCGGGCGCTTCGGATTTTAGAACGATGTTCTTGTTGATAATGTAATTACAAAAATCGGCGCTTATTAAAGAGGTCAGCAAAGCCTCGACCCACCACACCAATCTACAAAATGGAGTGTTACACATCGGATAGTTGTGACAGTGATAGCAGAGAACAAAAAACACTTGATTTATCCTGCCAAGCATTGGAGTCCAACTCGTTATCATCCGATCTAGAAGGCATAGTCAATGAAAAGGGCTGTGCGAAAAATTACGAAATAATTCTACTGTACAACAACAGAATTAGGACTGTGCCTGACACCATAAACAGGTTTTGCAACTTGAAGATATTGGATGTGAGCAACAACAGGCTAACAGTTCTGCCGGATGTACTCAAGAACTGCCCCCTCACAACTCTGATTGCAAAACACAATCAGCTGACTAATGAATCTTTACCAAAGTGTTTTTATTCTGCCAAGACCACTCTCAGGGAGCTTAATTTGAGTGGCAATCAATTAACCAATTTCCCTGAACAAGTCTTAGAGATAACTTCTCTCAAATATCTTTATTTGGGTGGTAATTGTATAGTCAATATACCAAAGGACATATGGAAACTAAGCAGGTTTGTAGATGATACGAATTGTTACTAAAAATATTCTTAATACTGTTTTCATATCTCGCGATGACGTGCTCGTCGCTTCGATCATTTTTTAATATATAAACAAATGCTTTTATCTCTTTGTTCCCAGTATTGTATGTATAGAGATATGTTAAATGGCTATTGTATTTTTATATAAATATTTAAATTACCGTCTGTCTACTATTAAGAACTGTAGGTACTTACTGTAGGTATTTGCTTCTTTTTCTTCAGACATAAATCAATTGGGTCAATAATCAGCTCTAAAGCTTTGTTTATTAGGTATGCAAGTTGAGATATGACTTGACTATAAATAATGATTATCAAAATTGTATTAGTAAGTAACAATCTACCTACATAGATATAAGTAGTCAAAGTATTGTTTGGCGACTTTATGGGTATTATCCTAGTTATCAGTTACTCAAAGATATTTACTTTGTAAGTGATTGATTCATTGTTATATAACTAGCTATACCACCGTACAAATAACATACTCAACACGTGCCAGCCGTGTTATTTGCAACTTGCACTTGTCTTGTTAATATTCTACCAATATTATATCTATGTTAATGGGACAGTGTCATACATACCAATTAAGAAATTGCACACTTAATGGGACAATAAAATAAATCTTTGTAGTAGGTACCTACCTATCCACAAACTGAAAACCTATGACCCCTCTGTATCTATGAACGGTTTGATACGCGCAAACACGACAATCTGCTGTCGAGCAATTGTGATGAGATGACAAACTGTTTTCCCACTTATCAGTAGCTAGACTGACATAATGTTTTGTTAACTAGGTACATATAGCAAAAACTTAGCCAAGGCTAGTGGAAAATGCAAATAGACTACTAATGCGTTTTGAAGTTAAAACCAAATAGATTACTAAAGCTTATATAATATTTTGGTCAGGATCTTCTTTTATTTATATAACTATATTTTATGTTAAACTTTGAAACTAAATAAGTAAACTCCCTAGTTTACTTCATTACTCTAAACTAGCGGCCGCCCGCGACTTCGACGCGTGGAGTTTGTTAGAAATAAAGGTTCACTGCTCTTTCCCCGTAGGTGATGATACCGTGATAATATGTAGCCTATAATTATGTTGACCCGACTTCATAATAATATTTGTGCCAAATTTGAAGTAAATCCATGCAGTACTTTTTGAGTTTACCCCGGACATACATACAGACAAACAGACAAAAATTCTACAAACTATATTTTTGGCTTCGGTATAGATTGTAGATCACACCCCAAGTATTCTTTTAAAAAAATAATCAATTTTAGTATTTGTATAGATAAGCGAATATTATTGTAAAATACGAGTATATTTCAATCAGATCAATTTAAAAACTTACTGTGTACTAATTAACTTACGAAGATATTAAGACTACCAATCAATAGACAATTATTTCCCGACATAACTAGTCTAGTCTACTTAGTAAGAATTTATGAGTGGTACCTAGGGACTATTGGGGACCATACCTTGTTATACAATCGCAATGCTTCATGGCCGTACTATTTTGCAATGCTGAGACAACGCGTTAAAGTTAATTTGTAGTTCTACCATGGTTTTACGTAGATAGACAAGAATCCCGAAACACTTTTCCTCTACTCTCCCCCTAACAGAAAATAGTAGAACTTACCAAAAACTTACGATAATGTAATAAGGGTATTTTAACAACCACTACTTTACCAATTCCTAATTAAAAAGGTTGTGTGTATCTTCAGCTTACAGATTCTATCAATAGGAGCGAACCAAATCACAGATGTACCGGATACCGTGGGTCGTTTAGTGGGTTTGCAAGCGCTTGTTTTGAGCGACAACCTCATAGAACAGCTGCCAGCAAGCATAGCCAATTTGAAACAACTACGCTCTCTGCTACTGCACAAGAATCGGCTGAAGACTCTACCTACGCAAATAATTAAGTTGACATGTCTTACAGAGGTAAGTAAAGAAACCAGTGGAAGAATATGAAAAGAAGAACCTCGTACCTTAGTATTCTATTCATTCATTGGTAGAAACAATAACTTTATTGGTTTCACTTGAACAATGAATAAGTACATACATTAATCAACTAGCCCTTGCTTCATCGCTCGCCCGTAAGTAAGACCTCATAGTCTACACCACAGAACACAGGAAGAGGTTAGAAGGGCCTTGTGGGCGGGGCAGGCGCGACAGTTAGGCAAATTACACAACTTGACGAACAGAGGATTTGACGAATTACCAATTAGTCTAATTTCTAATTTTTCGATTCGATCAATATCAAATTTGATCAATGTCGTAACACCCGGTGTTGAGGTTTAGTGCACCTTTTTTGAAGAAAAGTACCACCACCCTGTACCATGCCTGTGATATTATGTCTTCGTGAATAATGAATTTAAATTGGTTTTCCACCCGCTTTCAAGGGTTATGCTGTAATTCCATCATCCGCCGGGGCCTTGTTGTTCTTCAGTTTTTTGGGAGCAATACTAATCTCATATAGGCTGACGTCTGGGATATCTTCGGTATAGTCTCGCAGAAATTTGTTTCTGTGTTGCGACGTAAAATTGTGAATATAAGCTCTTGACCCTTCTCAAAAGTTCAAGTTTCGATTTAACATGTTGTTTAAGGAAAATTAAAGAATATTCTTTGCTCGGTTCATCGTGGGTAGTTAAGGCTGCTGTATCAACGGCAAACAGCCATTTGATCTGAAGTAAAAATATGGGAGAGAGCCAAGCACCTGAACGTAAAAGAATCTGTCAGCAAGAAGAGTTGTTTTATAAATTTGTATAATATGTATTCGTACTAAACTTAGTTAAAGGTCTGGGAAATCTTCAGGGATACCGCCCAACAAAATAGCATTAAAAAAAAATGCTTAATTTGAAAGCTTTATGGATTTATTCTACTAGTATATGCACTTCCTTTATCGTGGCATATTTTCTAAAGCCAAATTGATGGTCAGGTAAGACTTTGAATACTGCTCTTACAGTGTTGAATTCTAGTGTAGTCTACGGGAACACGCATTTTCGTAAGCTTTTCCGGTTTGAAGGTTATTTGTATCCGTCATATGAATTTTTATACTTTTAATATATTGAATGTCTCCCTCACAACTAAGAAAAATCTAACTACACCTCTCAAGCCATAATCCATCAAACCCTTTCAGCTACCAAGTTTGCCAAAGTAATAAAAATATAATTGAAAAACATAACTACATTTCTGGTGAAGTCGGGTAAAACGGGCCCCGCAATGCTTCAAACCGCCCCTGCCCGAAGAAAGCAAGGTATATGAGCTTGGAATTGAATTGTTAGTTATCGCAAATCTCCTTTTTTTTCTTCTTGTTCATATCGTTTCCTACTTTTTACCATCTGTAATCACCACATATCCAACTACCAACTATCCATTTTCCGCTCCTCTAATCGAACAAGGTTAATCGATGTACTAACCAATTAGATGAAATCAAGCTTGCATATGGCAAATGGCAACATTAGCCGTCATGCCATAATAAAAGAAGAAGAAGAATTGTTAGTTCTGGATTCAGTCTATGATATATTAATCATACTTTTCTAGGACTACATTCAGAGAGACTGACCTTTCCATTCCATCTAATAGATCCTCCACGTGAGGAATACTGGTTGCTAGTAGAGTAGTATCATCCTCGTAGCGTAAATTTGAAATAGTCAAACTTCCAACCGCGTCATCTTGCTAGTCCTCCAGCGCAATCCTCATGATATGTTCAGTGTAAATATTATACGAAGTGGAGAGATAATACATACTTGGTGGACTGCGGTACTAGGCTTTGACACGCTTATTTACTCATGTAGAAGTATTTTACTTGAATGGGATATCAATGCAATAAGTCGATAATTGTTGCAAGTTTTCGTAGAGCTTTTCTTGTGTAATGGGACGACAACTTTAAGAGCCCACTCTTTGGGCCATGTCCCTGTCTGGCAGATGCGATTATTGTAAACGGCGTGAGTCTCGGTAAGAAAATGACCATTGCCCTTCCAGTGAGTTTCACTAAGGCCCCAGATGCTCGTTCATCACAGCTTGATTATACTTCCATAATGACTTTCTTGGAATAAGTAGTTGGTTCATGCCTAAGGCCAAGAGGGGCATGGTCCGGGCGGCAGGCTGGCAAGGGGCGCTTGCAAGAGCTACGAGAGGTAGCAGCAGCCATATAAGGCATGCAGACCTAATATTAGGATGTATACTTATTTGGATTAACATTGCTTAAATGGTATTTAATTTTGTATTTGTACTATATGATACGGTATTCTTATGTTTAGTTTGACTATTCAATCAACTTAATTGAATAAGATTTAATTTAATTACCTACGATTTATTTAAAAGCCGTCTCCTGTATAAACTTTATTTTTGTAATTGTTTGCAGTGCACTACGACTATTATATCTATTATGTTGCAGTTTAACATAGATGGTTATAAGTAGTCAGGCTCTCTTAAAAATCTCTTCGGTGGTGTCGTCTGAGGCGGGTCGTTACGTTCTCTAAAATATGGTTGAGCGAAGCAAAGGCTGGTTCATACGTCATTCTCATGCTCGTGAACGGGTGCCGCCAGCGGGAATGAGTCCGCTCCAAGGAACTTTGTCTGCTCTATACCGCTTTATTATGAGCTCTTATTTATTATACCTAATATGAAGACTGTTTGTATTTATACTGCATGACACAGCAATCAAAATGTGACTGGATGTTTTTGTAAATATTGCTACTTCTTGCACTCATTCTTCTCATCAGCTAAAAGATGTCCTGAATGGGTGGTTGGAAAAAATATTGGACTATTCAAAAGAGCTTTCAATAAGTCAATTTGAATAAAGTAACTACTATAATTTCATTTCATTTGATATTTCTAAGGGGGAAGGTGCATACATTTTTGTAGACATTTTCCTAAAGAAGAGAACACGGGTCTACAATCATAAAGATCTTCCGCTATCGCAAAATCGTTCAGCCGTAGTCGCGTCGTATATAATGCCAGTCATAATGTTTACTACATTTTTATAGATAATTTCCATATCTTTACGACCTCTTACTTACAACCTGAGTTGAATATTTTCTTATTTAATTTTATGAACTTTGATAATCGGTACCATTTTAATTTAAAATAAAGCTGTCCACGTTAACAGTAGGTCTTTTGTACGGCGGAACGGCTTGCTTACACGCGTAGCGAGATTGTTCATCCATGATGACGTAATGATGCACGTTCTTGATAGATCCACATTGAATTGCAATAAGTATAATTAACCAGCCTCCTTATTAGCGGCGGTACCTAAATCCTAATGATCTCAAACTACAATTTCATATGAAAATAAAAAAACTATTACGTGGGCATCGATTTTGTGGAGTCCCAGCATTTTGATCTTTGGACAGAAAGATATTTTGTTTTTATTATCTATCATTGGTTTATTCAAATAGTGCGTAGGATGACGAGAAGATCAAAAGGGTCCGAATCCGAACCGACGACCGATTTCAGAACTTCGAAAAGGTTCGCAAGGGTTTATTCTCTTCGCTGATGATATGAATGACGACCTCCGTGGCCGAGTGGTTTATACGCCGGGTTTCAAGGTGTCGCCTACTCAAAAGGTCTCGGGTTCGAATCCCGATGAGTGCAGATGTTTGTGTGACGAATACGAGCATTTGTACTCCAATCCTAGATGTTTAATATGTATTTCTATATAAATATACTTATATCAGTATCAATATATGTACTCTATGCGTTACCCTAGTATCCCATAAAACAAGCCTACTACAGTGCTTACTTTGGGGCTAGGCTAATTGGTGTGTGTTGGAAATATTTATTTATTTATGTTAAATATGTAATTTGAACATAAACATATTGATACAAAATCATATACTATTTTTACTGAGTGCCTAATATACAATGTCTAGTTTAGTTATCTTATCTAATTAATACGACATGAATGATAGAACACTTTTATCCTGTCAGTCAATAAAGACTGGATAACAGAAACGATTATCATTTGTTTATTATCACTACATTTTCGTAGATGGAGTCGCCTTTGGTCTGGGGTAATATTTTTACCTCTACTGTTTACAGATAGCAACATCTCAGCAGACCCTCCTAACCCCTACTTCTAACCAATGTCAAATGTGGCATCTTCTTTGAGGTGGATGCCATGGAACAGAAAAAATTTCTTCTGTTCTGTGGACTAGGGTAGGGTTGAGAGATTAAACAATTTCATGCTGTTGCAACATTCTTTATGGGTTCTTTATGATTTTTCTATTTTACCCCAAGTAGAGTTAAGGTCGTCAGCATGCACTGTAGCTTTAAAAAAACCCCTAGAGCACCTTAATCAAGGGAAAGAAGAAAGTTATTAAAGGTATTTTTAATTTTACAGCTCAGTCTGCGCGAGAACCCACTCGTTTCGCGTTTCGTTCGTGACATGACGCTGGAACCACCTACACTTCTAGAACTCGCTGGACGGACCACCAAATTGCATGCAATACCAATAAATGTAGGAGATATACCAAAAACTTTGATAGAATACCTTAATGCTGCCCAATGCTGCGTAAATCCAAAATGCAAAGGTAAGACATAATAAAAATAAGGTAATTCCTTCTATAATAAGGGAATATTGTAGTCAAGTACTACAGTCAAAATGGAAAGTAATGACTAATAAAAATCTAAGCCATTTGCTAAATATAAAGATTGATTGAGATTTAATATCCTTCAAATCTTATGTACCTACAACGTCAATGCTGCATTTAGGGTAGGTCCAACAGACTGCAGATGCAGCCGGGACCAATGGCTTAATGTGCCTTCCGAAGCATGGAGGGGGTCGAGACAATAGGTTTTTGGTCACCCATCCAATTGCAGAAGTGGCTTAACTTCCATGATTGCAATCCATACGCGATAACTACAAGCAAGACCAAGCTCTTCATTTACAGTACACATCTGGAAATGAGCTTCTAAGTTTTGTTGAACAGGATAAGTAACATAAATAAATAATTTCCCAAATGCATTCAATTTATCTAGGAGATAGTGTGCCTTTGTGTTCATTTGTAATTCCTATTTTCTTATAAAATTTTATTGATTTCAGGTGTCTACTTTGATAATCGTGTAGAGCAGATAAAATTTGTTGATTTTTGTGGTAAATATCGGATACCACTCCTACAATATCTATGTAGTTCAAAATGTATCACTGGCAGTTGGGAGAGCCGCGAAATGGATAACAATGCTCACCCACACATGATGAGGAAGGTTTTACTCGGATGAAAACTGAAAATATATTCCTATATATAAATAGAGGCACATTAGGTTAATGCTAGCACTTGACATGGCTATTCATATTTTCCATTTGTAATTTGACAGCAGTACATCTTTATCATACTGTATTATGAATAAAAAATACAGACTGCTGCCAAATTAAGTTTAAACAAATAAAATTAGTCATGAGAAGTACCAGCAAAAGATACATATCATTCTTATTATATCAAATATTAAATCTTGAGCTGCACTGAGATGTCAATTAGTGCTTGTCAAACCGATGTGTTATTTTTCAAATCCAACGCAGTGATATCATCAGACTTTAATTAAATATTTCACACTATTTGTCATCTCTGAGTATAGCAGTCAAATATTGTTTAGTAAAATTTAAATTGTTTATTTGTGTCATAGACATAAGTCTTCGTAACTGAAATATTATGCTGTTATCTTTATACATTAATAAATTAAAGAAATATCAATGTATAATACCTCTATTTATTTATCTTCAAAATTTTCTCTCTTTATTGATATTAAGCATTTTCTTGTAAAAACTTTACTCTCTCTGCTTTGCCCCTTAAAATAGCTTCTTTAAATAACTTACAATATAGCTCTATAGCTACTGGTGTATCATCATTTCCTGGCACTGGATAAGTGATTAGATTCGGATTGCAGTTCGTATCTACAATACCAATAGTAGGAATAAGCATCTTTGCACTGTCTCTCACAGCTGTATGTTGATTGAGTATATTATTTTGAGTATTCAGAAAGATGCAAAGATCTGGAAGTCTTGTAACAGCACCAAACTGATGATTAGCATTTGTAAATATACCTCCTCTCCAAAACCTAGTGTGTGCATATTCTCCACATTCTTTGGCGGTTTTTTCTACTGTGTGACAATTTAGTGCATTTCTGTTGAAGAAACAAATAATACCACCTCTATAAGCAATATGAGCAGTAAAATTAAGTGCTCTTCGAAGGTGTTTGGCTGTAATATCCAAGTCAAACATTAAATGGCCAAGTCTTGATCCATAAAGATAAGGTCGCATATAGTCATTAAGTGATCCTTCTTTATGGCCACAGTGTACACGAGCATCGAATAAATCTTTTACTGTAAATAAATTATGAACTTGAAAATAGTCAGGATGTTCCAAAGGATTGATTTTTAGCGGTGTAACATCTGAAACAGACATAACCAATGATATTTCAAAATTCAGTAACAGAAGAAATAAAATTATCTATTGCAACCAAGCAACAAATTATATCTTCGTAATCACCTTCACTTGTGGTCTCCTGTAATTGAGCTGGTGCTGTTGAATTATGTCTTCTAAATGTGAAACCTAATTTTAAAGGGTGGCGATCTGAAATAAAAATAGAAACAAGATTTATCAATTATACAAAATTAGGCAGAAATGAGTAAGGTTATATCAAAGTTTGCTTACTAAAGCTCCTTGAAATCATCGCAGTAGGTTTTTTGTACAATGTACCTAATTTGCTAATTACACATTTAGTTAATAAATGTTTATTTTTGTAAAAACAACACCGCTGATTTATTTATATCAGACGCCAGAGCACGAGTTTTGACAGCTCCGTAAAGTATGTAAATTATTTGTAATTTCCGGTTAAAATACGGTACTCTGTGGTAACTAATCGCCAAATCACAGATTGCTAAGATTATGTCAAAAAAATCGTCAGTTTTTTAAGAAAACTAAGCAGCGGGCTTAAGAACAAACTATGGCCGAAATGGAGAAATTCACGGCCGTAAAATTAAAAAAAAAATATAAACTAGGATATTGGCGGGAAACCTGTAAAGCGGGTGGTTTAAATTTTTCTTGGAAAAAAAAGGCGAGAAATGTTTAACAGGATGCATCCGCGTTTTTTGTGATATTTCAATTAAATAAAAACGGCCGACATTACATAATAGGCCACAGTTTTTCGGTATCAGGGCATATCTAACGACATAGATGAATGATTGGTAGTAGTTTATTTTCGTCCATTGGGACAGGCGAAGGTACTGAGCCATACTGCCAAGTCTTCCGTCCATAATTCTGGTTGTCTTAAATTAATATATTGTTTAGAGGCAATCAGCCAAATCTCCAGTATATTATAAAAAAATCTGTTCTGTCCGGGAGTGGTCATAATCATCATATATTGTAGTATAATCCGAGGTTGTTTTATTATATTTCTCCAAGTGTCGAGTTTATAAATTCGTAAATAGGTAAAAAGTTTTCTGGGCTTGCTAGGATGTTCTGTAGAGAAGGCGGGATGATCTGTGATTTGGTCAAAAGTCGATCTATTAGAATTAGTCGCTGAATGTTGAAAGCTGGACAAGAAATGAAGATGTGGTCCAGTGTTTGATCTTCTTGTGATGTGCATTCAGTGCATACTGGTGAAGTTATTATCCGCATACGGTGCAAATGCGATTTAAATCTACAATGACCAAATCTAAGTCTATTTATCTGAGTGTAGAATTTCCTTTGTAGATAACCATCCGATGCAGCAAATCAAGGTTTTCGGCCCACTTCTTTATTGATACCGGCATACCAGGCTCCTTTTGTTTCTACGATAATAGATGAATGATTGGTCTCGCGTTGAGTAAGGTGAGACCAATCATCTATCTAACGATTTAAATCTTTGCTTACAAAGCAGTAAAAATGGACCAACACACCAAACTAATTCAATGTAATTGTCGCAGTTTAAATAGTAACAAAAGTGATTTGATCTATCTTTTTGATAAATTTGATCTCCTCTTTATCCCCTTAGCGCCTGCGGCTGACCGTTCATTATATGCATTGTGCAATACGTAGTATCTCTAACTAGTCTGTGGTGCAGCCGCGGCATGTCGCCACGCTTGGAATCAATTTCATAGTGATTCATAGAAACTAGTAGTGTTGCCTGCAGTCTGCAGCTGCGGTCTGTGTTTTTCTCCTGTCTTATTGCCCCCACCCCCATTGTAAAATTGGTGAGATTTTGTGTCACAATCACAACCATCAGCGCAACTGAAGAATTAGTGGAATCTTCAAAATATACGATATTGCGGTCAAGTGGACGTAAGAACTTCATTGTAGTGTTGGATACCTCACAGAAGCTTATCGAAAAAACCAATTCAATACATGTCGTGCCAAACACTCGAAGAAACATGGTGGTTTTCCAATTACAGAGCATAATGCGACTCAGTGGCGCACAATGGTGTCGATTCCAGCGTGATTCTTGTTGTAGACTCCTTTCGTAAACCATAGTGTATGCATGTATTAGTTAACCTTGAGTGATGTTGTTATTTGTCAAATTAATTAAATTATATTTTCCAACTGAAAAGCATGTTATTTCGTATTATTTAATTGGCGACGAGGAGTATTAATAAAATGGATACAGAACAATTTAACAAATTTTTAGAAATACAACAAACGCAACAAAAACAGATTAACGACCTATTGAATATTTTACTACTACAACATAAGAATACAGTTCCGACAACGCCGGAGAATACAGGTACGACATCAACAGATTGTACTTTATCGAACACAAAAATTAATATAATTAAGTAATTTGAATGTGAAAAATTTAAACCCGAATCAACAGATGTAGAAAATTTTGTGGTATATTTCGAAACAAAATGCGACATAATAGGAGAAGGTTGTACTGAAACGCGTAAAGATTTATTATTCACATGCCTATCACCACAAGTATTCCATGAAATAAAAGTTGCACTCACACCCAATTTTCAAAGAGCGACATATGAGGATGTCAAAAATAAATTATTGGATTTATTTCGCACTAGAAGAACAAGATTCAAAGCATTGGATGATTTTTGGAACTCTACCCGAGAAGAAAACGAAAGCATGGAACGGTACGCCAACCGCTTAAAACATCTTAGTAAATATTGTGGGTACGACGGACCGTTGCTGGAAAGGCAGTTACGTGATCGTTTTGCCACGGGCTTAAACCACGCAAAACTTCAAATCGACCTTAAGCAAAAATGGCCAGATCTCCAAGAAGTATACGAGGGCAAAACGACAGAGGTAACGTTTGCACAAATCTTCGCGATAGCACAGTCTCGAGAACTTGCGGAACACGATGATGTCACACCTACCACGAGTGTTCATAAGGTCAACTACACACCTACCACGAGTGCTCATAAGGCCAACTATACATCTACGAGAGTTCATAAGGACAACTATGAGCAAAAAGGAACTCGCAGTGCAGGCCGGTTGCTGCAGCCCAATCAATGCAAGAGATGCGGTAAACGAGTCAAACACGACATACAACGATGTGCAGCCAGGAACCATACTTGTGAAGCATGCAATCAAGAGGGACACTTTGAGAGCTGTTGCATAAAATCCGGAAGAGCATACGTAAGTTTTAAAAAGCCGTACAATGTCAAACTTAACAAAATTAACGACATTAAGCATCGTCTGGACTCATCGTCATTAGATAGCGACAGCGACTCTGATGAAGAGAGTGGGCCAGCTGTGTACAAAATGCAAAATAGATTACGCAAGAGCAAAAGGGTCAATGTATACATAAATGGGCGACCTTGCACAATGGACTGGGACCCAGGTTCAGTATATTCAATCATAAGTGTTAGTTTCTGGAAAAAAATTGGAGCTCCACAACTGAGTAAGGCACCAACACTCCGTGCTTATGGCAATACTAAGTTGAAACCCAAGGGTCTGACAGATGTGACAGTACAAATTGATAGCGAAAAGAAGCTCTTACCTGTAGTTGTTATGGAAAACGCTACTCCAATGCTTTTTGGCCTGAATTGGAGCGAAAATTTCAACATGAGATTCCCAGACCAAGTATACTCAGTACAATTCAAACTCAAGACATTAAAAGACGTTTTAGCTGTACATCCAACACTCTTCGACGACAAACTGGGGAAAGTTAAAAATTATTTGGTCAACATACACATAAAGCCCGGGGCTGAACCTAAACATTTTCACCCACGCCCCATCAAGTTCTTCATGAAACGCAACATAGAGGTCGAACTAGAACGCCTAGTTAATGATAATATCATTTCAAAGGTAGACCCGAACATTACGCCGATAGAATGGGCAACACCAACCGTCAATGTAGTCAAGCCGAATGGTCAAATCAGAATTTGTGGAGATTTTCGTACCACCATAAACCCAGTATTAATGACACATGCGCACCCTGTACCCTTATTTGACCAACTGCGCCAAAACCTTTCAAATGGTAGTAAGTTTTCAAAAATCGATTTGAAAGACGCATACCTTCAATTTGAAGTGGCTCCGGAGTCCAGGAGGTATCTCACAATCGCAACGCACAAGGGATATTATCAATATAACAGAATGCCTTTTGGTATCTCAACAGCCCCATCTATATTTCAATACTATTTGGACCAACTCTTGGAGGGAATACCAAACGTAGCAGTCTATTTTGATGACATCGCTTTAACTGGTCGAAATGATAACGAACACCTACAGACCCCTGCATTGGTCTTTGACAAACTGGAACAAGCGGGACTTAAGGTAAATCTCAAAAAGTGCACATTTTTTCAAACAGAAATTGAATACCTAGGCCATACGATAGACAAGAACGGAATACATCCCACAAAACGAAAACTCGAGGCAATACTAAAAGCGTCACCGCCAACGAACACCAAAGAACTCAGATCTTTCCTCGGATTCATCAACTTTTACGAGAGATTTATTCCACATTTACACTCTATTTGCGCTAATTTACACACGTTTACAGGCAGCAGACAGCGATGGCGTTGGTCTGAAGAAGAACAAAAAGCATTTGATAGGACCAAAGCCGCAATATCAAACGCTCAACCTCTAGTAGCCTTCAGCGACAAGCGGCCATTATACCTTGCTTGTGACGCATCAGAAAAAGGAATCGGGGCTGTGTTATATCACAAAAACAGGGATTTAATACAACCCATCGCATTTGCATCAAGGAAACTGAGGGCGCCAGAAAGGAAGTACTCTGTCATTGATAGAGAAGCGCTAGCAATCTTTTTTAGTATCAAAAAATTTGATCAGTATCTTAGGAACATAAAATTTACGCTAGTCACAGATCACAAACCTCTGATTCACCTACTAGGAACGCAACGAAACCTGCCAAAACTCGTCAATAACCGTCTAGTAAGGTGGGCACTGCTTATCGGGAGCTACCAATATGACATCACGTATACAAGAGGTGGCAATAACTTTCTGGCTGATTTCCTGTCACGCATGCCGAGCTCCGAGGAGCAACCTTCGAAAGCTGAACAGAACGTACATCGTATCGAAGCTCGGCACAACACCGTCAAAATTATTGACCTTGCCTTAACGGAGGATACGATTCGCACGGAAACAAAGAAGGACAATGTATTAAAACAAGTCTTACAGCATATTAAGGATGGGTGGAGAGAACAAACGAATTCCAATGACCTTAAGCCTTTCTTACGAAAACGCAGTGAGCTGTCAGAAGAAAGTCGGATCATCATGTGGCAAGGCCGAATTGTTGTACCAGGGTCCCTACATAGGGAAGTATTAAAAGTTTTACACAGAGGCCATCCAGGAACGTCGGCAATGAAGGCCCTTGCGAGATTTCACGTATGGTGGCCGTCAATCGATGAAGAGATCGAGGCATACGTAAAGCGTTGCCGCAAATGCCAAGAGAACAGACCCAACAACCCGGAACTGCCAGTGTATTCGTGGTCTGTACCGGATAGAGTCTGGGAAAGAATACATTTGGATTTTGCTGGACCGTTTGAGGGTAAATTTTGGCTCGTGTTAGCGGACGCTCTGTCAAAGTGGATTGAAGTAAAGCCAATGACGAGAACAACAACAGCACATTTATGTCAAGAATTGGACGATATTTTTACAATTTTCGGACTGCCACAGTTTATTATGTCTGATAATGGACCACAGTTTATTTCGCAACAGTTTCAAAGTTTTTGTAATGAACGAGGCATCATTCACATGCGATCCTCCCCGTACCATCCTCGTACGAACGGATTAGCCGAGAGATTAGTGCGTACGTTCAAAAGCAGAATGTCGTCGAGCACTAATGAGTCTGATGGTTTAAGGGCTCGGTTAAACAAGTTTTTGCTGTCTTATCGCACGACCCCACATTCAACAACCGGGAAAACACCGGCACAGCTGATGTTTGGTCGACAGATTCACACAGTTTTGGATAACATTCGTCCTAGTAGTAAACGAGATCTACAGCATAGGCAAATTAAAGCGAACATTGAAGCCGATGGGAAGAACAAAATATTTGATGTTGGAGAGACGGTTTATTGTCGTAACAGAGATAAACCAGGGTGGAAACCGGCATCTGTTGTGCGCCGGACTGGCCGATATTCATATATTGTTAACACTGACGACGGTACACAGCATCGTTATCACGCTGACCAGATAAGATCGCGTTTGGCCACATTGGATAACGCGAATGCAGAGACTGGAGACAATCAAGAGCATACAGAGAGCATATCCTCACCGGCTCTTGTTTTGACACCGCCGTCAGAGATTGATGCACAGCTGGACGTGACACAAACTGCAGCATCAGTACCAATCCCTAATAATTCAATCACGCCCACTGCTGCACGGATGACACCCAATACACCGATTCGTCCAGGTACCCCACTGCGTCGCAGTACTAGGATGAGATGCGCGCCACGGCGGCTGATTGCAGAAATGTCTTAAAGAAGAACGGGCGGGACGAATGTTGTAGACTCCTTTCGTAAACCATAGTGTATGCATGTATTAGTTAACCTTGAGTGATGTTGTTATTTGTCAAATTAATTAAATTATATTTTCCAACTGAAAAGCATGTTATTTCGTATTATTTAAATTCTCTAAACTTAAAACTAAATTTAACATCAGTCTGTCCTTTTCATTCTGTATAGAGAATGACAAGGATACACTGTTGTCAAATTTAAGTTTAGATTTAGAGAATCGTGCCAGAATCGACACCAATGCCGAATTATGCTGATGCTTAATTGGAACGTGAATTAGTTTTCAAATGCACCAGCAGAGTGCGCTAAGTTCAGTGTTGAAAAAAAGTCAGTGTTTGTACCTTCAATCAGATTCAGACTCAGGGTAAGGGTGCGGCCAGAGTGCACTCAGATTCAGATTCAGATTCTGAAAACAAGCGCGAGAAATAAACAGTGTAGTCGAAGGGTACGGCCAGAGTGCACTCCTGATTCAGATTCAGATTCAGACTTAGGGTGCGGCCAGAGTGCACTCAGATTCAGAGTCAGATTCAGATTCTGAAAACAAGCGCGAGAAATAAACAGTGTAGTCTAAGCAGGTTGCCTGCTTTTTCTCGCGCTTTGTTTTCTGAGTCTGAATCTGAATCTGAATCAGGAGTGCAATCTGGCCGTACCCTTCGACTACACTGTTTATTTCTCGCGCTTGTTTTCAGAATCTGAATCTGACTCTGAATCTGAGTGCACTCTGGCCGCACCCTTAGAAAACAAAGCGCGAGAAAAAGCAGGGAACCTGCTTATACTACACTGTTTATTTCTCGCGCTTGTTTTCAGAATCTGAATCTGAATCTGAGTGCACTCTGGCCGCACCCGACTCAGATTCAGACTCAGAAAACCAGCGCGGGAAATAAACAGTGTAGTTTAAGCAGGGTGGCCATAGTGGCAGCAGGCAACCTGCTTAAACTACACATTTCTCGCGCTTGTTTTCCGAGTCTGAATCTGAATCTGAGTGCACTCTGACCGTACCCTCAGAAAACAAGCGCGAGACGCGAATAAACAGTGTAGTTTAAGCAGGGTGGCCATAGTGGAAGCGGGAAACCTGCTTAAACTACACTATTTATTTATTTCTCGCGCTTGTTCTGAATCTGCGTGCACTGTGGCCGTACCCACATATGCTAAGGGGATTGGCGCTGTATGCCGTAATACAGGCATTTTGCCTAGCTCGGCAGCAGATAAATAGGTAGTTATCAGAGATATTAGTACTGTTTTAGCCTTTTAAGTTAATTTGTAAATCAACTCTTACTGGAAATAAATTATTATTATTATTATGTCAGAATCGACCCTACTCTCTACTTATGTCAAAGCTTACCCAAAGTGTCAAAGCCATGGATTTTGAACGCAGAGCAGAGAAAAGAACAGACAATGTTTTGTTTGTCATTTACCTAGCTTGCTTGCGTTATTTAAACGAAGTTATTTTGTGAATAGTTTTGTAGTTTAGTTTTCTTTCCATTTCATTATCTTTATATAAAATGTCTACAATAAAAGATATAGCAGATGTTGATCTTTATGCCGTTCTAGGTTTACAGATCACAGCTACAGAATCAGACGTATGTTCAAATAAAATAAAAATGATAGCTTTACTATGTTTTATGTGACTATATTGATTAAAACAAGGTGATTTGATTTTCAGATAAAGAAAGCTTACCGCAAGAAAGCATTGCAATGCCATCCTGATAAAAACCCAGATGATCCCAAAGCTGCAGAAACATTTCATGAGTTATCCCGAGCTCTAGAAATTTTAACAGATGTTTCAGCTAGATCAGCATATGATAAAGTCCTTAGAGCTAAAGAAGCAGCGAAAATTAGGCATCAAGAATTAGATAGTAAAAGACAAAAGTTAAAAGAAGATTTAGAAAGGCGGGAAAGGGAAGCAACTACAGGGCAGAAGGTCAACTTAACAGATGAACAAAAGCTAGCTGCTGAAATCCAACGTTTGCAAAAAGAAGGTAGTCAACTTCTTCAAGAAGAGCAACAAAAAGTGAAGGATGAAATTCAAAGAAGGTTGGGAAAGCTATCTCAACCTGTTTGGGACTCTAGTCTGAATAGAATAAAAATCAAATGGAAAGTTGATAAAAGTGATAAAAACAATGGTGGTTATGATGAGCAGCTGTTGAGGAAATTTCTTAAAAAATATGGTGATATTGTAGCTCTTATAATATCCCCTAAAAAAAATGGTAGTGCCTTGGTGGAATTTGCATCAAAAGAAGCCTCTGAAATGGCTGTGGAGCTGGAAAAAGGTTGAAACTTGGTAATTTGTGGCACATCAAGACAACAATAAAGTAATTCAACTTAATAATAAATATTTTTTTTGTAGGTTTGGCAGATAACCCTTTAAGTTTGAAGTGGCTTAATGGAAAACCTGTGTTGACTACAAAAAGAGATGTGGGAGGACCATCATTAGTTTCCGATAGAGATTATGAATCCTTAGTACTAACAAAAATGCGCCAAGCAGCAGAAAGGCAAAGAATAATAGAGGAAATGTTAAAAGAAGACAAAGAGCAATGATACTATTCATAGAAATAAGAATAATTAATAATTTATTTAAACAAACAATGGAAGAATATGTTTTAATACTGTTTGATATGGACAAAAGTACTTAGCAATCCCTGAATTTTCTGTTTGTGGTACCTGAGGCCCAAGTATGAAGTTTGGAAGCTCTGTAATTATATAGCATGGTCAGATATTTTATTATAAAACTATGCAATGTCCTGACAGTACATAGAACAAACTCTCCTTTCATACAAATGGAAATGAGGATATCATTACGGATCTGTCAAAGTTCACGCTTGGGCCTCCGGTCAGTCCCCATTTTAATGTGTTGAGGTATTGACATGTACGTAATGTCTATAGTTCTTTATAAGAGAACCCAAAAATTACATTAATATCATTGTATGGGGGTCCCTTACTCCCTAACTCATATTACACCCCCCTTAAAATTGGGTAGTATAAAGAAAACGCAGAGGGCCTTCCTTCGGTGGTCAGAAATAGCAAAATGAAATCGTAAGTGATTTTAATAGCTGAACACCTCGTTCGAACCTCTTCAATTACAGCGTGATGTGGCATCACACACTGGACCAAGATTCGGAAATCGTGGACTTAGGGAGCAAAGGTGAGCTATCGCAATGATTTTTTTTACGGACATCTTAAAACAATATCAGAAACTTTTGTTCTAACACATATGCTAAAAAGAACTTTTTCATAGTAAAAAAAATATTGTTTTTTTTCTTGTATGGAAACAAAGTAACTATGGTGTTTTTTTTTTAAATGGTAAAGAGTATCAAAAAAGCTGCTAGTAGTGCTTACAATAGGGATGATGACTAATTTTTTTTTCTTCATTTATCAGGTAGATTATCTAAAAGTATTGGACACGTATTTTTTCTTTTTCACTTAAAAGTGAAAGTTCACTCAAAGTGACGTCACGAGCCCCCAAACTTTGACGCGCTATGACTGTCATTTTTTGGTTGATTGCCCAAAGAAAAAATACGTGTCCATTATTTTTTGATCATCTAACTGACGGACTAAATAGAATTTCATTTACTGTACCCCGTCATCACCCCTATTATTGACAATTTTTGCCTTGACGTTATATCCATAAGTCTACAGCTTGGCGTCCACAGGCCTTGGAAGTTTCCATACAAAATGTATGGGATTTTTAAAGTAGTTGAGGGTAAATTTAGCATCTATGTGATTCGAAACAGAAAATAAACTACCAATAATAATGTTTGATACTTAATACAAAGACCTTAACTTAAAATAAAAATCTCACTATTCGATTTTTTTTGTATAGAGAATTATCTATACTTATAATAAATCTGTAGAGAGGTCAATTCTGTACATGAAATATATTTTCAAAATAACTATCAGGGGGTGATTAGTGATCGATACTGATGCCAAAAATGCAATCAGTAAAATTTTTGTCTGTCTGTGTGTATGTTCCTTATAGAAACAAAAACTACTCGACGTATTTTAACGAAACTTGGTACAATTATTCTTCATACTCCTGGGCAGGTTATAGTATACTTTTCATCACGCTACAATCAATAGAAGCAGAGTAGTGAAGGGAAATGTTGGGAAAACGGGAGAAGCTTCCGTCGCGTGCGCAGCCTTAATGGTTAAAGTTACATAGAAATCATGTATGACGGAAATATTCTACATAAAATTGTCTAAAAAATATCCTGCAACAGCATATGTCTATCTTTTATGGTTTACTCACAATAATACGTGTAACTCCTGATAGCTTAGCAGTTCGGAGCATTCTTATTATATTTGTTTACTCTTACGTTTATAATACTCTCACTCATCCCTAATTTAAAAAAGTTAACATTTTACCTATTCAATAAAAAAAGAATCATAAAAAAGAATTAAATAAATAAATTCAATGTGTACAATACACGCCTGAGAACAAAATCTATAGTCTACACTACATCTCTACACCGAAGCGAAGCGAGGGCGGGCCACTAGTTTGATATATTTGTCTTCCATTGACACAAACCTTAGAAAAAATAAAAAAATGACTAATAGGTTAAAATGTGATTATAGCGTGTGCGTAATATTGTCTGACGTCACAAACGTAAATCTACCGCTTTGGTTTCTTCAGCTCAAGGATGTTGAGTGAGTGACGAACGGGAGCGAAATGACTGGCGCAGACAGGGCAGACCCACCTATATTTATAACACGTATGCGGGTCTCATACTCATCAGATCGGCGTCGGGATACGCCCCACACACTCCATCTCGCTTCAGGCCCCGTAGGCCCAAACACGCACTCACAGCCACACACAATAAACTCACACGCGATCTCGCGGCCCTCCTGGCTGCTGAGGATCCAAAACTCGTGGTGAGTCCCCCCGCCCCCCCCGACACAGAGAGGTTCGATTCCTCTCAGTCCCCTCCCGTTTCAAGTGCACATCTGAGTGCACTTGTCCTCTAAGCGCATTTTGCGTTATTTTAAACTAGGCACTAGTTTAAACTAACGCAGCGCCGCATCTTCCCCCTCTCGGGGGTTGATCGCTTCAGATGAAGCTTGTAAGGCCCTTCTGGCCATAAGCATGAATAAAGGGTGTTTTTTAGTCAGTAAGAGTCTGACATAACCTTACAGCCGGCTGTAGGGTATCCATGAGGATTTCTCACCCTCTCCCCCGCCTGGGAGGAAACAAAAAAAAAAAAAGGGTCTCATACTATGCTGTCAGGACTGTACTACGCCGTTGCACGGAACCACGTCTACCCCCAAGCTCTACGACGAAAAATTGCAAGTTTTTCCGATCGTGAGACTGCCTGGCGCCACCCTGTCTGGAGCCAGCGGAGACTGCCGCGCACACAGCCGCAGGCCTTGAGCGCGCCGCAAGGCGGTGCTCGGCCAGGTTCGCGCAGGCGTAGCCCCCAGCACGCAGCATGGACACCACCACCTACTACACGATGCCACTATGCCCCAACCCGCCAGCGGACGTAGAATTGGCCCAAACCAAGACCCTTTTCGCAGCCAAGGTGATAAGCTCGAGATCGAAACGCGCCCTATATGAATTGGACGCGTCGATATCGAGCCGACTCTGCAGTCAGGCCTGCTCTCGAAGAGGTTATCAGATCGGATCTGGGCCTGCATGCGCATACTGGACGAGGAAGATAGCACTGTGACCGAACTCAGCCCAGATGACCACGGTATCATCGTAGCCTGCAGGAACGTCAACTCGCAGCCGCTCACGCTCCCGCCGCCAACTTCCATCTTCCTGGAACCCATCCAGACGCAGCCGAGGCAGCCCCGCGCAGTGCAACCGCGCGATATCCATGCGCGCCGATCGCACAGCTGCGATTACTGCCCTTCCTCGATGACGAACCAGCCATTACCGAGGTAACAACCCCCACAGAGGAGCAGGAAACCACCCCTGCCTCCCTAGACCAGCCGCAAGACATAACGACTGCTTTACCGACGCAGCCGATGCTGTCGTACGCGCTGGCCGCGGAAAAATCTGCGCCTACCCTCGAAGCAGCCGAAAAAAATTCACCCACCGCCGCTCCAGCACCACCACCGCACAGATTGCGCAACCGGCCTCCAGCAGCGCTCCCACACCCCAGCGGGCCCGTAAGCCCCCGCCGATAGTGGTTGAGCAGTGCAGGACTGGCCAAAGCATCTGAGCGCTATGCAGCAGCAATTTGGACGCTCGCCCAACGTAAGCCCGTTTGGCTCGGGTGTACGTTTCTTGCCGCAGGTCGACGACGAGGCCCGACTCGTCCAGGCCTACCTTTCCGGACTGGAAGGTCAGGCCGGACTAAGTTGGTACTCGCACGCCCATCCCGACGACAGAAATCTGAAGGTGGCCATCAGAGGACTGCCTACCAATACCCAGCCGTACGATATTGCTGAGGCCCTTACCGCAAAGGGCTTCGCAGTAGATCACGTCAAAGAGATCCGGGCGCGAGCAGGCCGCACCGGATGCCTTTACTTCGCCTCGCTACGCCGAACCCCCGAGACCATCCCAGTCATCTACTCCAGCCCAGTCTATATGGCCGGAGTTCAAATAGAGGCCTGGAGAGGAAGAAAGACCCCCGCGAAGTGTCACCGCTGCCAGGGGTTTCGCCACTCCAGCCACGGATGTCACCGCCCGCTTGCCTGCGTGCGCTGCGGTGACCCGCACGCCGCCGCCGACTGCCCTCGCCCGCTCACGCAGCCCGCGACTTGCGCGAACTGCTCAAGCGCGCACCCGGCCACTTACAGCGCGTGCCCCGCGAAACATCGCGAGGCGCGCTACCGCCGCGCCACTACAGTGGCCCAGGCCGCCCACCCACCGAGCCAACCCAACACCCCACCGAGGTGAGCGAGCACGTTAATCCCCCGCGAACGCTCCTCCCTCGCACACCAGCCGTTCCAAACGACGCAGCCGTAAGCCCCGTCGAGCGAGCAAAGCATCGCCGACGGACACGCCCGCCGCAGCCCCACCACCCAAAGATGGCAACCACACCAGACAAGACCAGCCACCGGCCGCCCAAGAAGAAGATGCGACAGCCCGGTTGATTCTACATCTCACCGAATTGCTAACGGACTTTGCGAAAAAGTTCGGGCAGTCCAGTAAAACTTTTTTCGCACCCACCCCCGGATACGCCACTACCCCCGCCCGCTAAAGTCCGTCGCCCGCTCGCAGGTCGCTCACTGGGCCTCCCTCATGGGTAGGCTTGTTGAAAATATATCGATATATCGATATTTTTTGTCGATATATTTTGATTTGATATATCGATACCAAATAACCAATATCGAAATTCGTATCAAAAACGATATTTTTTAATAATAAGCGATATATGACGATCTAACTAAATTCGTATCTGGAAAAATCGTAACTGGATCTCAAATTAATGATATTCAACCTTGTATTCAACATATCTATGATCTGTGCTGTATTTAGTATTGTCTATTATTTGTAAATCTGTTTCACTGGTGAATTGGTTGTGCTGATTTCCATTATATTTGTGAAGTGTGTGACTGTCTAATCTTGTTAACGAAAGAGACCCTGCAATCATTTACCTGAGAGACCCTGCAATCATTTTCATCATTCGAAAATAGGGTCTATTTTTAGGGAGATAATTTTCGTTCCATTATTATTCCGCGTGTCATATTTCGTGAGCTACTGTACGATATTTTTGGGAAAATTGGTCCGATGTATCGATGTTATTTTCGCGATATATCGAAGCCGATACGATATTGATATCTTTAAAAAGATCGATGTATCGATATATCGATATTTTTTTCAACTTTCGACATCCCTACTCATGGGTCTCACCCGGTGGGCTTGACCGCGCCAAGGGCCATGTGTGAAGAAGCGGAGGCGGGGGTAACCGCTCCAACGACCGTCTCTTCTGAAGACGAGATGCGAACCCGCCACCTCTGTAGTGAGCAGCCGCTCAGATCAGATTCCCCGCACGCCGCGGCGCCTTCGGCGCCGGCGACACGCGAGACGACGACGATGAACTATGCTGTCAGTACACCGATTGTGTGTCATTTAATAGCGTGCGCGCATTAACCTCTACCTTGCTCTCTGTCTTCTCTAGCCCCTATAATATAAACTGGCCTACAAACTATGTATGTGTCACATTATGAAACAAAGACTATTTATGTTAACTCTGAAAAGAGCAAAGCCCTAAGGCTTTGAAAAAGCCGTTTTATGTCAAGCCAAGGGATCTGCCATGACTGGAGCTTCTGAAGCAATTACTTCTACTTCATCAATCTCGATTTCTTTTTCTGCCGGAAGTTCTAGGAGATCAATAGCTTCTTGGAATAAAGCCATCTTCTTGGACTTCCCATATTTTGGCCTGATATGAGATATATAAGGATCTGACGTAATCAAAAAATTATTCAGTATGTCTTCATTATTTAGGATTCTCCCCATCTTGCGAGTGTGATGTTCTCTGGTATTTCTAAACTCCTTGTTTCTAGCTTCCGATGCTTCTTCTGACATTATTCCTATGGGAAGACAAGAGAAATGTTGGCAAATGTCTGCCTCTGCCCCATGTATGAGCAGCTTGTGTAAGTTTGTGGCCTTGTGGCACAGACTAGTTAGGTTTGTGGGGGAATGGAGCAGCGTTGTCAACGATTACTCCCAGTGTTGCCACCTTGGGTTTTTTTAAGGCGCCAAGTCAAAGGTAAAATATCGCCAGATTTCAAAAATTTGGATTTAATAAAATACTCCAAAATCCGCTAAATTACAATTACATCTTTGATAACAAGAAACCCTAATTTAAATAAAAAACCAGTGAATATGTATGAGATGCTACAAAAAAACCATATCCCGCTGTCGTTCTAAATTAGTAAAATTTTGTTATTTAAAAAAAATGGCAATATTGTTTTTACTAACTACTAAACCCGCAGGCCTTGCGTTTTTTTCCAAGCGTTACCTTAGTAGTACTAGAGAATGAAATAAAACCAGGTAAATATGTATTTACATTATTTTTTTATAATCAAGAAATAATCTTAAACAAAATGTGAAATTTAAAATTCATTATTGTTAAATGTTACATCTTCTATAACTTCATCGTCGTTCACAGACGCCGACGCTTCTGTCAATGAAGCCGATGTCGAAGCTGAAGATGTTTGGTTGTGGTTGTAGTGGATTTTTGAAAGAGTATATTGTGTTTTTTAAATGATATATTTAGATTGCAGCTTTACACAATGAACAAAACGCTTTCGCATCAACACCTGCTAAAGGTTTAAGCCAGGTTTGGAATTCGTCGAGTGATTCCCATTCTTTTGTATACTTTTGTATGTAATTCTTTTTCTTGAATAGAATTTCCATCTAATGTATTCGATTTTCGTGAAATTTTATATGCATATTCAGTAGATCTGAGAATCGGATAACATCTATTTTTCATTCCCCTAAATGTTAAGGGTAATCCACCCCTAAATTTTTTCAATTTTAGATATATTTTTTAAATTTTTTTATGATACATCATACAAAAATAAATATAACCCAAAATTTTCGCCCTTCTACCACCAACCCCTATTTTTTTATGGCGGTACGAAGTTTGCTGGGTCAGCTAGTAATAATATATAATTGAATACTCTAAACATACAGCTTCAGGATTTCACACACTGTTACAAACGTTTCTATCAAATCAAACTTTTACACTTTTTAACAACACAATGAACGCGAACCTAATACGTGAAACAGAATGAACGATTGAAGGAAGCCCTTAACAGACAAACGCGTGTAGGAATTCCCCTGTAACGATAAGAGTAAATGAAATTTCGGAAAGTTAGGGGATTTCTCCCTTAAAAATATGTTGCTAGATTTCATGTTAAAAAACCACTAAAAACACTAAAAAAAATATACCTGCTAGAAAATGAAAATATACCACTAAAAGCCGTGAAAAAGCACCAGTTCTAGTGGAATAACCACGAAGGTGGCAACACTGATTACTCCAAATTTAGAGAGTTTATGCTATATTAAATCAAAGAATCGATTTTTGGAGCCAATAACATCGATTTTATAAATTTTAATCGATATGTAGTACTGAATCAATTCAGTGAATCGATATTTCACCCTTGAAAATCGACATTCGATTTTATTTTATTTTTTGGTATAAACCAAAAAGTATTTACAATTAATTGAATGTACCCGTAATAAAAGAGTGCTGCCAGTTAAAGGGTTAATTATTCAAAAAACTCGCGAGATGGCTATATGTTTGGATTCCTTCGCCCCTCTTTATTAAGAAAATGTACATTTTGTTTTTAATCTTTGAATAAAAAGATTTTGTATCATCGAATTACCTGATTTTACTAATAGGAGATCTTTCAATTATAATATGTATTTTGTTCTTCATAAAATAGATTTATATTTAAAAACATAACAAAAGCTTTAAATAAAGGTCGATTTTTCAGAAATTGATGTTATTGTTCTCGATTCTTTTGTGGATCGATTCATTAGGTCACGATTCGAAACAATTTAAAAATGGATCTTTTTCGGAAAGAATCGCCATCCCTACTCGATTAAACAGGCGCATGTTTCGCATTAAATACCTTTTCTGCAATTTAAACTTTACATTTTTTGATTAATGATAAATATTGTTTTGAATACATAATGTTTATTTATATTGGTGTCGATTCCGGCATGATTCTCTAAACCTAAACTTAAATTTGACAACAGTGTATCCTTGTCATTTTCTATGCAGAATGAAAAGGAGAGATTGATGTTAATTTTAGTTTTAAGTTTAAAGAATCATGCCAGAATCGACACCATTAGATACTTAAAAATCAGTTTTTATTTGTGGTGAAGGTAAAAAAGAAAATTACCTTTTCCTAGGTGTACCTTGAACACAAAAGTTTGCAAAACACTGGTCTATACTACGTTGAGTCCAAACTATCCCCTTCCTTCAGCAGGCAGGGGGGGATGGGGTCAAAGGATCCCCTCGACCTCACCTCACACACAGGGGGTTTGCCCGAGCATGCTTGGCGCCATAGCAAGACTGGAATGGTGCGCTTTTCAGAGTTTAGACTTGATAACCTGTTATGACACCGGGTGCACGCATTAAAAAGCGTGACGTCATGCACATGTCGTTATAGATTACATGCTCAGTGAGTCACGTAATGTGACGTCCTCAGACCTTAGAGTATATGCTCTAAGCCTCAAACACATGGCGGAACGTTGAACTAACGGATAGTTGAACGTTCCGCCATGTGTCTGTCGTGACGCTTTTTTATGCGTGCACCATGGCATTTACTTCTAAGGGCCGACGCTGTTTTATGGATCACGCACAACATGAAAGACAAATATATTTCCGGCTTAAAATAAACGCATAGGGCTACGTTCTATCTACGCTCCAGGTGCTACTAATGTCAAACTTGACATACGTTCCATACATTTATGTTAGAATTGAAACTTTGGGGTTAAAAGTTGCACTCAGAGTGTAGATTTTGAACGCAACTCAGCTCAGTCAGTGTTGTTTGTTCATTATCATCCATTTCCCTAATCTGTGGTGGTTGTACTGTTGTTGATTTGCTATCGCGTTGATAGGTATGTCTACCTAAGGTGTACTTGCATTCCATCAAAAGATAATTTTTCTGATACTCCTTTTGTTAAATCCTTACATAAAATTAAACAATATTATATTCATACGTTCTACTAAATAGCAATTTACCTTGGTAAAATAACATCGTAACATGATTAAGTTAATTTAATTTACTGACAAACGGAGGAGATAGAACGGAATGTCTGATTAAGGTTTAAAATTAGTATTCAATTAGTGTTCCTTACAAACAACTGCTGGCCAAAGGTATGTATCTAGAACTTGTCCTTATTCACTTGCATATTATGGTAATTGTACTTCAAATAGTGTGTTTTATAAGGTGCCTGCTATATCAATCAATGGAAAGTGCTTTCGTTGGTATTCCGTTTTTCCTATAGGTGTATTAACGCTAAGTTATTTTTATGAATTGTGTAATGCTAATGATAAAGTGAAAATGAATTGGATTTATCTTCCATGGTTTGTTTCATGTAGGTGGTATGGTATGTTTTCATTGCTTTCAGGTACCTAAATTAATAGTAACAGTTAAAATGTTTTCTAAGAAAAAAAAGAAGCCACTTATCTCGCCACCAAGTAACTTTGAACACCGAGTCCATACTGGATTCGACAAGAGGGAAGGTAAATTTGTGGGTCTACCATTACAATGGGCATCTCTTGTTGGCAATAATCAGGTAATTATTAAGGTTGTTATTATAGATCACACATTAATCCCGTCTGCTGTCTGGTCTGCATGGAATTTTTTCTACGATTTTATATATTTTTTTATATTTTTTGTGCTATAAGACTATTAAAAGGAGTCAGGTATATATAAAAAATCATTTGTTTCAGATATTGAAATCAACTAACAGACCATTGCCATTGGTTGATCCTTCAGAAATAACACCTACTGAAATATTAGATTTAAAGACAGTTGTAAGAGGTGACCATAAAATAACTTCTGTATCTTCAATAAGTAGACCCACCTCAACAAATGTTCCCAGATTACCAGTGCAAAATGGTGTTATATTGCCAAAGACATCAAATGTTGCAAGATCAAATTCATTAAGAAGTTCCAGTCCTCCAAGGATTCGAAGAGAATTAAGGAATCAGGCGAATGTCCCACCAGCTGTGCCTGAGGAGTCACCACCAGTGCCACCAGCCCCTCAACAGTACCCCAGTATACAAAGAGAGCAAAGTACTTACAGTATGAATAAACAGATTCCAGAATCACCTGTGGATTGGACCCAACATTCTCATGAAGCTACTGTCAGAGCTATTCCAGAGATGAATGACAATCATCGGGTCACAATGACATATCAGAATATTCAGAATGCTAATGTGCCTTATCAACATAATCACCCTCCACAACCAGTGGTTCATGGAATGCATCAGGGTCTCAATGGAAATAATATAATTATGAGTAAGTTACATTATTATATTATAGTAATAAGTATTTTTTGTGAGACCCCGATATTTCAATTCCGCTAATAACTATAATGTTAGTGACAATGACAGGTTAAACCAAAGTTACATTCTTATTTTTAACTTACCTACTCAAGATTTTCTAATAATTACCAAATTAAACAGTACAGTACTTCTGTGTACTGATTATTATTGTACTGTTAGTTTCCAAAATAACATTTTAGGAACCATTTATTTATAGATAAACTGGTACATCTTGTTTTGTCTTATGAAATAGGTATAGAAGCTATAGGGTATTTGATGAGTTTTAAAAAACAATCTCACATTATTTACTTATGTTTATGGAAACCATTAAACGTGGATATTCAACAAGCTGTGTATTTCAGTAAAAAAACTAAATAAAATATTCAATTTTCAAAAAAATGCAGCAATAATGTTTCTTTGGACTATATGGTGTCCCACTAGTATATGACATCACATGTAATGACCGTAAGTCACTTGACCATAGAACAAAAAGGTATTTTAACTAAATGATATTTTAGAAAAGTTATTAATTATTATTTGTTGTCTCAGATTAGTAAAATTGCTGCTAATATTCATATTATATACAGATGTCAACAATTTAAAATTTATTTTTCATACTGTCAAATAGCCTATTTTGTTTAAATGGAGTCCATGAAAAATACTTTCACTGAACCCTCTATATTATTATCTATGGAATTTAATGTCTCTTATATTGGTGACTTTAGAATTAAATTTTAAAATGTTTACTTTAAACATACCTAGTTTCTCAAAGTTGGTAAATAAAAAATACAGTTCCAAATGATTGGAAGAGCAACACTGATGATTTGATAATCGGTAATTATATTTATTTGTCTATAGATGAGGGTTATCCAATGCCGAGACATCAGCATAACATGACAGTTGCAGCTGCTTCACATTTACCACTTGCAGCATCGAAACACGAACTTCGACTGACCCACGAACAGGTATATTTAAAATTATGTATATCAAAATCATAAAATTATATTGAATTGAAAAAATATTATTTTATGGTTATAATTAACTTCAAATCTGACTGCCCAGCTAAAGAACTAACTAAAATAATCAAAACAAATCACATTAAAAAAATCATTGCAGTCAAAGGACAGTTCTGTGCAACAGTTCTTAATCTAAAATTTTCTGTAACTTTTTTGAACTTATTTTATTACCTAAACAAAAACTTCATATCATTAAAGTTTGCATGGACAAAGTTAAGCTAGTTAATTAGTAAATAAATAAAATTTAACAATTGAATAAATAGTGTCCCAGGTTAAACCTTGATTATCCTAACACTGATCCTGGTATTGTAATATCATGCCAGCTTTACAACTAAGCCCATTGTTGAGATAAGATTCAAGGCTCAGTTTACATTCATTATGTTGGATGTATAGTCTACTTTAGCAACAAGTTTACATTAACATTGTCATTCTACAAGCATCAGGCTACTCAAGTTTCTTGATTTTAATAATAGTTACTTCATAAGTATACAGCCGCTTCATATTAATATTAACATAGTTTCTATAGCGACGACCTCCGTGGTCGAGTGGTTTGTACGCCGGGTTTCATGGTGTCGCCGACTCGAGAGGTCCCGGGTTCGAATCCCGGTGGGGGCAGATGTTTGTGTGATGAATACGAGCATTTGTACTCCAGTCATGGATGTTTAATATGTATTTCTATATAAATATACTTATATATGTACAGTATATGTATTCTATCCGTTACCCTAGCATCTCATAACACAAGCCTTACAGTGCTTACTTTGGGGCTAGGCTAATTGGTGTGAGTGTCGGAAATATTTATTTATTATTATTTATTATTTATTTATTATACAGAATTTTAATAAAAAAAAACAAAAGATAAAAAACTTTTACTTCAAAAAAAAAACCCACTCAGTCCAGGTTTCAGATAGGATGTGGACACAGAGGATTTTTTAAGTAAAGGTTATCTTAAGATTTATAAATCAAGCAGTTAAATGCTTAAATATATAATAACCTAAAACAACTAAAGTTGCGTTTTTTAAAACAGTATTGCTCTAAGCATACATTTTGCAAACACCTCTACTCGACCCGAGCTATGAAACGACTTGGTGAGTTAAGAAAGTATATAACGTAATTTCATTCTGTCGTTATCTTGTTACATTTTAACGTGTCCTTCAAAATTCAAACTCATTTATTCAGTCTAGGCTGTTACAAGCTCTTGTGAAAGTCAAACGCTACGCCATCGGTTCGTAAATCTACGGCGGGAGACCTTGTACTGAGAAGAACCGGCAAGAAACTCAGCAAGGGCTATTTTTTTCTCCCTGTTTTGTTTCACACAGTGTCGTCAATTGAAAGATGACATCAAAAATTGAATACATGTGTTGATGTCAACTTCCATCACATTAATATTATTAATTAACAAAAGTTAAGTATAACAAGGTACTATTTTTAAATTTAGAAGTGGCGATTAAACAATTTTCAACCAAATTAGCAAAGTAAAACGACAGTCTATTATGTTAAGCCCAAGGTGACTTATCATTTATGAAATCTATTACAGTATAGTAACCTTTCTTAAGGAGACATGTTTTTATACACACTTTAAACTTATTAAAAGGTAAATTAATTATCTCTTTTGGTATTTTATTATAGTAACATATACCTTGACCCACAAATGAACCAAGAACCTTTTGGAGTCTCAATGGTGGCAATTTGAGTTTATCTTTATTTCTGGTATTGAAATTATGTACATCATCGCGCCTCGTATATAAATTTATGTTCTGACGCACAAACAATATACAATTGTAAATGTATTGAGAGGCAACAGTCATTATACCTATTTCTTTAAATTTATCCCTAAGAGAAGTTCGAGATCCCACGCGGGCTCAGTGCGGATTGGTGGGTGCTAACGACTGCAGATGCAGCCGGGACCAACGGCTTAACGTGCCTTCCGAAGCACGGAGGAGCTCGAGATAGTAATTTCTGGTCACCCATCCAATAACCGACCACTGCGAAAGTTGCTTAAGTTCAACGATCGTAGCCGAACGCGCTAACCACTTGCGTCATCGAGCTCCTCTTAACTATATTAGCATGTAATTAATGAAAATGTTCAGATTTGAAATCCATTTTAGTGTTCCGTTCTGTCTGTCTGCCAAGACCCTTTATTTCGGTAATGCGTGGAGTCATCGAGTTAAAATTTAAACCATATATTCAGGTACTCTTGTAGCTGTGAATAAAAAGATACGGCCGTTTATGTTGAGTAACTGCAATTTTGTATGGGACGGTTTTTTTTTATTAGTTTGTGGTATACCTCATATCTTTTATATGGATAGTATGTACAAATTATGTGTTTGACTCCCAGGCTCCCAATTACCCCATTTGGGCACCAGAACCACTAAACTTATTAATTATGTAATCAGTTATACACATTGAACATACTGTTATAGAAGTATTAGATACAAGTTGCTAAGTAATATTTACATAAAGTGAAAACACTATGACACTTTTTAGGTCAATTGTTACACTAACGTTTTGGTTGAGATAAATGTGACTTTTCGTGCTCTTAGTAGATAATTTACTACAGAATTCTTTTTATCGCACATAGTACACTTTGTCTGTTTTGTCATTTTTAAGCAAATTATCGGGCAAGTGGGTCAGAAATCAATTGTATCGATCGTACCAAGTGTTTAATACTTATAAAAGTATTTCGTTTGACATTGTGGTTAATCTACAATGCAAAGAGAGGCGGCAGCGGCTTAGCAACGTAAGAAATACTCCCCGTTCCATATAATCCTACTGTCATATCTGTACTACTAGGATATATGGAACTTTCTATTCCATATATCCCTGCTGATCCGCGCACTGGTGGGGATAATTGGAATAGTCCTAGTACCTAGTCAAAGCTTCGTGGCGCAGATGTGGGAGAAGTATAATACAGTATAGAATAGACCGAGGATTTTCTATACTGTATTATACCTCTCCCACACCTGCCCGACGAAGCTTTGACTAGGTACTTATTGCGCTAAAAACATAGAAAAGCTGCGAAAATGATGGTAAAGTAATTGTCAGGTACATTGGTAATACATAATAATAGTGTGCTTTTTCTGCTCGTAATCATTCAAATTACAAAGAGCCCTACTGGAAAGACAAAACTTTCTTGTTGAATTTCTTCTGTTCTATTAAAGATCCGTCAGAGTTTACACGAACAGTGTTATTTTTAAGTACTCCGAGCGTAATATAGACGAGGGTCCCGCTGAATGAATGCTGAACCTGTTAAAGTACATTGAACCTTGTTAATCAATGACGTTCCGTAACCATTTTAGTTGAGAATGCAGATTTATAGAGCTAAGGATTCCATAATATACAATGGTAAAATTTTTGTTCAACGACAAGAAGTTATGACCAAATTACCAAAAGAAATTTCGGCTGGCCGCGTGGTGGCTGTGACGTCACAGAGCTCTAGCACTCGGGCGCGAGCGTGCGTAGAGACGCTACTTAAGTTCCACCGGAGTGAACCACGATCGAGCTCTGTGGCGTCACACGTTTCGGCCGCCGGTGAATATTGGCTGCCATAGAATTAGTTGTAAAATCGCCTTCGTAAAATCCACATTCGTGAGGTACATTGAACAAGGAAAGCATTACCACTACTATTTTAAGTCTAGCTCTAGTGGCCCCGCTAGATAAAAACACATATTTAAGAAACCCTTCAAAAAGTTATCCCCACTGGTAGTTAGCCACGACACGAATTTCGCTATTTGGTCTTTCTGTGATTGCCACAACGCGTCGTGCGCGTTTTCATTATTGCCATAATACGAATTTCGCCATGTGGATATTTTACTGTGACCACAACGCGTTGTGGGCTATTTTTACGCTCACTAAGCGTTTTCGATCTTTGAGCGTAACATATATATCGAATAGAAAGTTCCATATATCCCAACCAGTGTGATAATTGAAAAAAGAACTTCTAAGTATATATATAGAACAGGGGAGAAATACTATAAGAATATCGATACAACCATTAAGGTCTCTGTAATATAGTACTTAGTGCACTAGCCCGGATTGCGGAATCCTGCCTGAGATTTGGAGAGAGATGAATATTTTTTAAGAAAAAAATATTTTATTATTATTATTCTTAAAAGAAAATACGAATAGCTATTTGAAGTGCCTGCATCTTAATGCACATGGCTATTCGTATTTTCTTATATGTAAACTTGACAACAGTCTCCTTTTTACTCCCTATAGAGTATGATAAGGACAACCTGCTGTCAAAATGACAAATAACTACATACGATAGTTTTTATTGGTTTAATGTATCGACTTGGCTAGTTCCGAGCGGCTCTCTGCCTGGTGGTGAGCGAAGGCGATCCTCGCGCCACGCTGACCGGCTTCAGCAAGATCGGTGAAGGGAGCACGGGCGTGGTCTGCGCCGCCACCGAGAAGGAGACCGGCCGCCGCGTCGCCGTCAAGATGATGAACTTGAGGAAGCAACAGCGCCGCGAGCTACTCTTCAACGAAGTGGTGAGATTGGAATGCCTATTATAGTTCCATTTTATTGCTGAAGGGTTTTCTTGGGTAACCATACAAAAGATGCCACTCCAAGTCAATACTGTGACCGCCACGGGCGTGGTTTGCGCCGCAATCGAGAAGGAGAACGGCCTCCGCGTCGCCGTCAGGATAAAGAACTTGAGGAAGCAATTTCAAGTCTAAACCATGACATATTTTTATTTTCAAGGTGATCAAGTTTTTTATATAATTTGAAGGTTTTTCAGCTAGGCCTGATATCACAATGGGTTGAATAAATATAAAAATATAATAGAAAGTCTTGTTCTTCTGCAAAGGTTTATTTTATAGATCCATTGTTGAGGGATATTATGCCACCCGAGTTACAATTGTCAAATAACAAAATGGAACCTTATGTAGTTTTTGTGAACTTATAAACAGAAGAACTCATATGTAACCAAATTGATATAAACTTTTGCGATAATGAACCTTTCTATCTTTATTGGTCTCTGTCAAATAAGATTTTGGTTACCCATACAATGACCGACTGAGCTGAATACAGTGCTAAATGGATATTTATGAATGTGAGTGACAGTTCAAGGAGCGCACCACTGTTTACGTAAATGACCGTTAATGACATACAAAATATGACGTTTACAAAGACGGTGGCATTAGTTCTAATATTCACCACATTCATAAAAATCCTTGTCGCACTATACATATCGTTTGTTTGTTTTTGACATTGAGTTCAAAATTGTTCCTTCTCAGGTTATAATGCGCGACTACCCTCACCCGAACATAGTAGAGATGCACGCTTCGTACCTCGTCGGCGACGAACTCTGGGTGGTGATGGAGTACATGGCCGGGGGTGCGTTGACTGACATAGTGACCAGGCACGCGGCCCGGATGGAGCCCGAGCAGATCGCTACTGTGTGCAAGCAATGTTTGAAGGTACTGGAACATAGTGGAGATGCACGCTTCGTACCTGGTCCTAGCGTAAAGCCCAGAAGTTTTTATAATAAGAAATGGACACCTAACCATGGTCAAACCTAATAAATTGTAGAACTCAGTTTCGATCCAATCGACGGTGTATAAAATAGGGAATTTAGTGTGAAATTTCTGAAGTAATTATCATCTTAACTGATCTGTTTTACGCATTCATGTGAAAAACTATCATTTTCTCTAAAGGTGAATTATGTTTTGACAAAACATGAAGCAGACTGCGAGGAAATTATTGTCTTCATGTCCCCAGAATTTAAGCTATTGATGGTCAAAGTACTTATCAGACTTTGATTTTTGTACAGTCGGGGTAAGAAAAGGTTCTTCACCTTAAGATTTATTTTCCTTTGCTCCGAATGAGCGATACTCTGCTTTACCGATTGAGTATGACATATTACAGTGGGTGGTCGACTGTCACTCGCCGCCAGTCGGGATGAAAAAGTTGGTAACCTTTAATTGGAACTGATTAAAGGTTACCAACTTTTTAGACTGCAAAACATTCACAGTGATGAAATCCCATTGAGTGCAATGCATTTCTTATTATTCTTGGAGATACGTCAAACATTTCAGCAAAAAATTTGTTTTCCCAAAACCATTTTCTTTATATTTTTGCCTCATAAAATTTAATTGTTCATGAGTGAGGGTCGGGCGGCGTCCAGAACCTTACAGTTTCTTTTGTTATATTGAGATAACCTTACAGTTTCTCTTGATATATTGATATTTGACGAAAATTCGCTAATATTATACCCAGCTTCAAGGTCTGCAATAATTGCAGCTCTTTCCTCGATGCTTAAATTCGAGGAATTTAAGCATTATCAAATTACACACTATGGAACATAAAATTATTATTGCAAAAATATGTGACAGTAACAGACATTGACAATTAAACAGAAGATATCGTTACTAATTAAAAGTCTATAATAACTAAAGAGGCTATTAAAAAGGTTTGATGTTGATATGAAACTAGACGTAGGTCAAAGCTGTGCACTAATTTGACTCTTGCTATCATACTATGTTAGTATAATTTTATGTGCGGTTGGCTGCGTAATGCTTTAGTTTCAAAAGGTACTAAGAGTTTACGACTTGATAGACGAATGAAAAAGGTAAATGTACATTTGTAGTAATGCAGATAAGACATGTATTAAGCAAAATTATTCGATATCATATTGTTTCAGGCGTTGGCGTTTTTGCATGCTCAAGGCGTAATTCACAGAGACATAAAGTCAGACTCAATCCTGATGACGGCGGACGGTCGTGTGAAATTGTCCGATTTCGGTTTTTGTGCTCAAGTCTCTCAGGTACGTCGAAATCTTGATGATATTGAATTATAATATATAGGCACTCAAACTAGGAACTAATATGATTATTTTGCTTGCTTTTTGCTTAGAGTGGTAGAACATTGTGATAAATGGTAGTAATAATTTATAGAAAAAAATATTGATCCAACTGTCTATTGAAGATTTGTAACAGCATATCTAGGTATATAAATTTAATTTACGAAATACAAATTTTCTGTTAATCATTCATTACTCATCACTGTTTTGACGTGACAACGTCTTAAATTAGGTTGCGGCTGGGAGTCACTTATGAAAAAGTGTAACGCTCGGTAACGTTACGATGAGTCTCGTAGCATGCTGGAACCCCGTAGCCGTGTAGCAAGTTTGCTACGAATCGTCGTAGCGTGGTTGCATGCTACGATGGTATTCACAAGCACAATGCATTGTAATATGTTTTTTTGACGTATTATATATATTTCTATAGTTAAAATTTGTGCAATTCTTATTTTCATTCAATTCCTTGTTCCTATTGTGCAATTTAATTATATTCATATCAATAAATATTCTACCGAGAAAAAGACGTTGTCACGTAAAATCTTCGCCCGTAAAACCGACTTTACAGGCAACCATTTTTTTTTTTGTTTTAATTCTATAACAGGAAAACATTCAGTATTATAGAAATAAAAAAAAACACTTTAATGACAATAATAAAGATAATGTGATAGATTGCAAACACAGTCTGAAAAGAAGTGTAAAGAGTAGATAATATTGGTATCTTATACTGTTAACAAAAATTGTTGCATCGTTTTGGAAACAAACTTTTACCACCTCATTCCAAAAAGCGGACTAAAGTTAGTCTTGGTTTAAACCTAATGCTGTCTCTGTCTACTTTATAGCAAAAGAAAGTGACACCATAATTTTTTTATCTGGTTTTTGGCAAGATTGTCTGACTGAAACTTAAGCAAATCATGAGAGAGTTGTTGAGGAGCTCGATCGTGCTGGTGGTTAACGCGCTCGGCCAGCGATCGTGGAATCTAAGCATCTATCGCAATTGGATGGGTGACCAAAAACTTGTTATTTAAAGCTCCGCCGTGCTTTGGGAGGCATGTTAAGCTATTGGTCACGGCTGCATCTGCAGTAGCTTTGCGCCCGCGTGGTGGGTCATGGCCCAAATTTCCTATCGTATTCATCACACAAACATCTGCCCCCACCGAGATCTGAACCCGGGACCTCTCGAGTCGGCAACACCATGAAACACGGCCACGGAGGTCGTCAAATATCATATAATGATATTGATGAGAGAGTTGTTAAGAAAAGATTTGTTTGCAGGAACTACCAAAGCGTAAATCCCTCGTGGGCACTCCGTATTGGATGTCTCCGGAGGTGATATCGAGGTTGCCATACGGCCCTGAAGTGGACGTGTGGTCTCTAGGGATCATGGTCGTCGAAATGGTGGACGGTGAACCGCCTTTCTTCAATGAACCACCACTACAGGTAAGTTTTGGAGAATAGAGTAATTTTGATGCAAGTGGCCATTGGACATTGTTTGTAGTATATATATATATATATAATTGAATTTTGTGTAATATTTTTTGGTTGGTGAAAAAGTCTTTTCGCATTATTAGTCCGGTCAATTTAGACATAAAAATAGGGATCAATTAACAAAAACCCCGACAGAGCCAAATATTGGTGGAGACCTTTGTTATACCCTTATAAATAAAAATTTAAAAGTCCCCATCAATCGCATGCGAGCTTCAAAAGTTATGCGGGGCCAAAGGTCAAAATTTTAAGTTTTTTGACTTTTTCTCAAAAACGGTAAGTTTTATCAAAAAAATACCTCAGACTAAAATTGTAGATCTCAAAATTCTCTGCAAAAATGGTTCTTATATTTTTTTTCTCTAAGTATCACCGTTCCTGAGATATCGTGATTGTGACGTCACGTACTACATAATATGCACACATTTCCTCACCACCTATGAGATAGTGTACTCGGCGTGTTTTTTTTAACGTGTTTTCCCCGGTAGGCCTATTCCACTAACCGTTATGATGTAATTTTTAGAGACAATACGAATTTAACTGAAGGAAGATTATTAATATTGATTTTTGTTATTGAATTTAATTGCCGTTCTGATTTCTTTTCACATTTCAATCTGATTCATACTCTTCATAGTCGACTTCATTAATCATGTCTTCTTCGATTTCTTCTTCTTCTATTTTGTTCTTCCTCTTGCTGGATGTTCAAAAATTGTTCAAATGTAGATAAATCAGTTGTTTCTTCATCAAAATCACATGATCCTCTGTTGTATTCAATTGTACATTTGAGCAAGACTGACCTTGGCAATTGGTACACGCTGGAGAACACTATAATCCTACTTTTCTCCAGCCGCATTTGGCACTACAACCTTTCTTGCAATTGCAAAAAATGTGTTAAGTAGTTTTTCTGGAGCAGGAGGAAGTAAAGTCTGTACTGGTTCCAAAGTATTATTTATTAATTTCCAACCCCAGTCTTCAGGGTTCAGTTCATTGCCTTGCCATGTCTGAACTTGACAATATGCTCTATACAAATGTTGAACAGCAGATGCCCAAGTTGGAGGAAGACAAGATAGTTGTACTTGCTTCTTGTTTCGTGTATTTCTGAGTAAGGTTAAATACCTGTATTTATCAATGCAATTTTTTTTGGAGCTCCATAAACAGCAAGAAGAAAATGAATTCCTTTTGTAATTCTTGTTTGAGGTGAAGAATCTATAGTCATAAATACTTTGGCGCAATCAATTAATTCTTTTTTTTTCAAATAATTTCAACTTTAACTGACTTTAACTATATATTTTCTCAATATGGTATATTCATAATATAGTATAATTATAGTTTATTCATAAAAGAGACACAAATAAGTATTTTTGCTTGCTTAAGAACCTGAATATGTATACATGTAACAAATGTGTGCATATTACGTAGTACGTGACTCTAACAATCACGATATCTCAGGAACGGTGATACTTAGAGAAAAAAAATATAAGAACCATTTCTGTAGAGAATTTTGAGATCTACAATTTTAGTCTGAGGTATTTTTTTGATAAAACTTACCGTTTTTGAGAATAAGTCAAAAAACCTAAAATTTTGACCTTTGGCCCCGCATAACTTTTGAAGCTCGCATGGGATTGATGGGGACTTTTAAATTTTTATTCATAAGGGTAAAACGAAGGTCTTCACCAATATTTGGCTCTATCGGGGTTTTTGTTATTTGAATTGTCTAAATTGACCGGGCTATTATAGTATGGTATAAACTTGTAATACAATCTTTTCGGCTATACCATTTGTACTTTGCTGATTTTGGTATCATTAAAAAGGTTTGAATTTTAAAGAAGATAATTCCAAATTCAAATTTGAAAAATGTGTGATTTTCTATTGTTTTTATTATTGTCAAGATAGTGAATATTTACTTAGCATTCATTTGCTAGATTTATAAATAAAAAAAAACTTCACTAGAAAATTGACTCCGCCCAGTTATCAGGTTTCGTCCCAGCCACTTTTCCTGGAGAGGTGTGATTTTTTTATAAATTTTTATTCTAAACAGGCGATGCGTCGTATCCGCGACATGCCTCCACCGCGGCCGCGTTGTGCCTCCCGCTGCCCGCCGGACCTGATATCGTTCATAGAGTGCGCTTTAGTGCGAGACCCGGCGCAGAGACAATCCGCCGCCCGGCTACTGCACCACCCGTTCCTGCGGCGCGCCGGGCCGCCCGCGCTCCTCGTGCCGCTCATGCCCCGCGGCGCTGAGTGAGTACACTCCCCCCACGCAGCACGCAGCCGGCCCCAGGTTGCTACACCACCCGTTCCTGCGGCGCGCCGGGCCGCCCGCGCTCCTCGTGCCGCTCATGCCCCGCGGCGCTGAGTGAGTACACTCCCCCCACGCAGCACGCAGTCGGTCCCAGGTTGCTGCACCACCCGTTCCTGCGGCGCGCCGGGCCGCCCGCGCTCCTCGTGCCGCTCATGCCCCGCGGCGCTGAGTGAGTACACTCCCCCCACGCAGCACGCAGCCGGCCCCAGGTTGCTACACCACCCGTTCCTGCGGCGCGCCGGGCCGCCCGCGCTCCTCGTGCCGCTCATGCCCCGCGGCGCTGAGTGAGTACACTCCCCCCACGCAGCACGCAGCTGGCCCCAGGTTGCTACACCACCCGTTCCTGCGGCGCGCCGCACAGTGGGTGAAAAAAAGAGGTCCCCTTTCATAGGATTTTTGAAAAAATAAAAATGTATATTATCCGTTTAAGGTATGCGGTTTTATTGGACATATCACTACATTGAATAATAAAATAGTTTGGGGAATTTCCTTTTAATCTAACACCATAAAGCACGGGCTTTAGAGTTTCAAATGTATGAAAACGGAATTTGTTTTGCTCATAACTTGTCTCGGTCTTCTACGGTCAAGCTGAAACTTATAGGGATTATTACCGGGTCTGTTACGAAGCCATGTGACCTTTGACCTTCACCCCGGACGGCCCCGTTCAAAAGATACGAATTTTTCAAAATGCTTATTAGGGTAATTTTGCTTTACGGGGTTATGTGTCTCAATAAACAGTTTGTTTATGTTTCTTGCCCAGCATTTAGTTATTAATACAGCGCAGATTATTATCTAATAAAACTATACATATATATATAGATAACGACACCATACAACTTAACTTTAAATAAAAGCGTCCTTATTCAAAAGATATGGAATTAATATAAATAGATAAAAGAAATAGTTTTAAGAAAAAGAAAACAAGAATACAATATTGTAAAGAATTACAATGAAGTCGTTTAAAGCCAACAATTTAATCTTTTGTTTGACAATCGCTTAAAAGTCGCACACCATTAACGAGAGCATCATTACATATAAACAATACAAACTCTATTGTGGCGGGTTTTGGGAAATTCAAAGGGTTACCCACAGTCATTACCTGCAATTGTTAGCCTATAATAATTACTGATTATTTGCTTTTATTGTGGGTAGGTGAATAAATAATACGTTGTTATTATTATTATTCAACAATGACTTCGATTATAATAAATACGGAGTACACCTGTATTTCATTTCACTTATCATTATTGATTCGTACCGTAACGTTCTCTTTGCTCAAATTTTAAGTTGCTCAGAATGGAAGGGCTTGTGTCTAATCTCGACGTATATATATATATGAGGCAAAAATATTTTAGTGCCGACATGTTATTTCAAAAAGTACTCGATTCAGTGAGATTTTCACTATCTGAAGAACAAAAGACAACTCTTAAAACGTTTTGTGCTACATATACGAGTAATCTTAAACGCAAATGGAAGTCAGCTAATTACACACAAGGGAATTTTATAAAGAAGTTTGCTGGCTGGTTGGACCAAGAAATAAAATGGCCAGAGTTTGTTTCACTAGACATAACTGAAGAACAATCAAATATTATGACGAGTTTTGAAGATCCTTCAACAAGTATTTCAACAGTAAAAAGACCTAGTTTATCAACGGAATGCACTGTTCCTCATAGTGTGGCTGTGTCGACATCAACCGCTACATTTAGTCCTCGAAAAGAATTTGCCAATTTGAGTCCACTGCAAAAAAGAAGAAGAACTGAAAATCTCTTTGCGAAAACGATTTTGAGACACTTGCTTATGCCCTGGCTAGGAAAGCGGAAAATGAAAACCAAACGGACTTTGTAGAATTAGTGAAGCATTTGATTAAAAAGCCTGAAGATGCGCCAATGCTGCGAGCCTGCCTGAAATCGACGAAACGAACTTGTCATACCGATAAGGCACTCGGTATTTCAACATCACTGAAATTATCGAAATGGCAGTATATTACATTGAGGCAGACAATGAGAGACATGGGGTGTGATATACTTCCATCGTATGATGCTTTGAAGCAAGAGAAGAAGGAGTGCTACGTTGAAAAAGAAGACATGGTAATAACTGAGACTGAAGTTAAACTTAAACTTCAGTCTATTTTAGATATTACGGTCAAGAGACTATTAAAAACTCTGGAAACTGATTTAACTGGCAGTAATTCGACTCTTATCAGTAAATGGGGGTTTGACGGTGCATCTGGGCAAAGCAACTACCAACAAAAAATTGACGGCCATGATTCAAGCATCTTCATGTGTTCATTTGTGCCGTTAAAACTGGTGAGAGATGGTACTGATGAAATAATATGGGAAAACCCCAAAGCGTCTTCAACGTTTTACTGTCGACCCATTTATTTTAAGTTTGCTAAAGAGAACGATTTGAATGTTAAAGAAGAAATGACTTCAATTGATACGGAAATTGCTGCTCTACGTCCAACTGTTATAGATGGTGCAAATGTAAAACACGTTCTGCATATGACGATGATTGATGGTAAAATAACTTCACATTTATCAGATACATCCACAGCTACATGCGATATATGCAAAGCAAAACCAAAAGAAATGAATGATATCGACAAGGTTACTCAGAGAACCCAGTCTGTAGACATGTTTAAGTTCGGTCTGTCTTCCCTCCATGCACGAATTAGATGCATGGAATGTATCTTACATATTGCTTACCGTCTCGACTTCAAGAAATGGCAAGCTAAGGGCGAAGATTTGAAGCAACAGTTAAGCAAAAGAAAAAAGGCTATTCAAGAACAATTCCGGACTGAAACGGGGCTACTTGTGGACGTTGTTAAACAAGGGGCTGGTACAAGCAACGATGGAAACACAGCAAGAAGATTTTTTGAAAATCCTCAAATTACTGCTCAAATAACGGGTGTTGATGAAGAACTCGTTAGAAGATTTGGAGTGATTCTTCAGGCTATCTCATGTGGAGAGTTTGTGGACGTGGAAAAATTCCGCCAATATTGTGCTGCTACAGCACGCAAATATGTCGAGCTCTATGAATGGTATTATATGCCCTCAAGCGTGCATAAATTACTCATTGATGGTGCCGATATAATAGAGCACAATAACTTTATACCAATCGGCAAGCTCTCTCCTCTCTGAAGGCCTCTGAAGCTCGTAACAAAGATTTTAAAAACTTCAGAACTTTCCACTCGCGTAAATCTAGCAGGATTGCAACAAATGAAGATATTATCAATAATTTGTTAATATCGTCTGACCCATACCTATCAAGTTTCAGGCCTAAAATATGTCAACGAAATAAACCTCTCACAAATGAAGCTAAATCATTATTATTAACTTCTTGTGAAGATAAGGAAAATATAGAGTTTGTAGATGTAGGTAATGTATCTGATTATGACTTTGATTAGTATGTGTTCTTTCCCTCAAATCAAATTATATCAAACTTTGTATTTTTATTTTTTTGTATCTTTGTATCATATTAATATAAACAGTTTACGTATTTAAGAACTGTTGTAGCCAATTTGAGTTCTACTAATCTTTTATACTTTAGCTTGTATGTGTGTAGTAATTTATACAGTTGTGGCTTCCTTATTATGCATTATTTAATTTATGATATCAAGCTTTAACCCTTTCTTAGATAGACATTGTAAGTGGAAGTATGTTTGTTTGACAAAATTAATTATTATAGGCAAACAACGGCAGGTAATGACTGTGGGTAACCCTTTGAATTCCTCAAAACCTGCAACAATAGAGTTTGTATTGTTTATATGTAATGATGCTCTCGTTAATGGCGCGCGGCTTTTAAGATTGTCAAACAAAAGATTAAATTGTAGGCTGTAAACGACTTCACTGTAATTCTTTACAATATTGTATTCTTGTTTTCTTTTTCTTAAAACTATTTCTTTTATCTATTTATATTAATTCCATATCTTTTGAATAAGGACGCTTTTATTTAAAGTTAAGTTGTATGGTGGCGTTATCTACTGTGTAGTTTTATTAGATAATAATCTGTGTTATATTAATAACTAAATGCTGGGCAAGAAACATAAACAAACTGTTTATTGAGACACATAACCCCGTAAAGCAAAATTACCCTAATAAGCATTTTGAAAAATTCGTATCTTTTGAACGGGGCCGTCCGGGGTGAAGGTCAAAGGTCACATGGCTTTGTAACAGACCCGGTAATAATCCCTATAAGTTTCAGCTTGACCGTAGAAGACCGAGACAAGTTATGAGCAAAACAAATTCCGTTTTCATACATTTGAAACTCTAAAGCCCGTGTTTTATGGTGTTAGATTAAAAGGAAATTCCCCAAACTATTTTATTATACAATGTACTGATATGTTTAATAAAACCGCATACCTTAAACGGATAATAAACATTTTTATTTTTTCAAAAATCCTATGAAAGGGGACCTCTTTTTTTCACCCACTGTGCGCCGGGCCGCCCGCGCTCCTCGTGCCGCTCATGCCCCGCGGCGCTGAGTGAGTACACTCCCCCACGCAGCACGTTAATATTGTGTTCTATGGTACATTTTTTTGGCAACCCTGTTAATCGATTTGCGGTTTTTATCGTAAGTCGACCACCGTCCGTCCAATTTTGTCGAATGTATTACATCCTTTATATTACACTCTAGTAAGTAAAGAACAACAGATTTTTCTTTATACATAATATATAATTTCCTCGACTCCTAAAAATTTGTAATGAATATTTATTTGTATAATTTCAGATGATCAGTTTTTTGGAAACCCTCTCCGAAGTGACCTGAACCAGCAGCAACCTGAAATAAATTGTTACGACTAAAAAAAAGTGTACGCTGAAATGCTACATAGCAACAGAAAACTTTATGAACAATTATTAATTATTGTTAATACTGTATCGGATGCTTATTTTTTTCAATATTTATCACAACAAAGATATAAAAATTATATTTGCGAATGTGATGACTTTGAATCACAAATGTTGGGTGGGGAAATGGGATCAGAATTTTATCTTTTTTCATTTCCTAAAAGTGGCAGTGATATAAAATAAAAATCGAACACGATTAGAATACGTTATGTGCGTGTTTTAAAATTCTATAGTGTTTACCTGATCATATGTTATTTTACTTCAAACTTATTACAAAGCTCTATATTTTTGGCACTCGATTGCTTTAATCGAATAACAATTCGATAGATTGATGCAAACGTTAACGAGCAAATTAAAACATACAAACAATGGTCTAATGTGACCTACTCCTCAATAATTTAAATACAAAAATCTTATCTTCATACATTCAATAACCTGATTAAAAGTTCAAAAGTATTTTGGTAATTCCTAGTAAAATCATTCCAATCAATTTTTTGCGTAGATTATTTTTATTTAATCTTATATTTTTGTTACTTATTTTTATTTTGGCAATGACGATTAAGTAATATGTAATCTAATATAAAAATATATTATATAACATGCGATATATCAAGTATTATATAACATTCCTTATTTTTGTTTATAATATTATTCTAGCCATATTTTGTAATGGATTTAATATAAAGAAATATTAATTATCTTTATTTTGTAAATAATTCTAAAACGAAAAGTAATCAACATAAAATCAAGTATATTTAGATGAAAATACACCATGAAAAGAAACAAAGTAGGTACTTTTTATATCATATTTTGGTCTTTTGTTTTTAACTACCTGAAAATCATGGCATGTATGACTGTAACACGAAATTATTATGTTGGATAGGTTATATAAAAACGGTTGTACCTTAAAGATGCATAGCGACTTAATAGCCAAACTATGACTGGCGAACGACGAAATTAGTGTAATTTGAACCGTCGGTACGACGTGAGTCACGATCGTGCATCCTTAGGAAACAGTAATTTGCTATTATACACCCCGACACACTTCTTGAGCAATGACCAAAGACAAGGAACCCTACGCAGTAGCAATTTTACCATAAGGGTATAAAAATAGAGTGGGGAAGGTAACTCTAAAAATGTCCGTCTAGTACAAATAGAAAGAAGATGAGAGACCGCTAGCTATCTCTCATGTGACGCATGGCATCCAATGGCATCACATCGAAATAGTAAGATGCTTACGGTTACGGTTGCCAATGCGCATGCGCGATTAGAGAGAGAAAGCTAGCGGTCACTCATCTTCTTTCTCTTTCTATTATAATGACACTTCCTCTTTTAGTAGAGTCTATATCTACCTTATACCTCTATGAATTTTACTAACAAAAACGTTTACTGGGCAAGTTCATGAGTCTGTGGTTTGGTCAAGATCTTTGTCGCTACCTTTACCACTATACTAAGTGGATCAAATCCTATTCCAGCTCTTTAACTCTTATCAATATATTGTTCAGTTTGTAATAATGTCTTTTCACGATAAATTTTAATTTAGCTTTAAATATCTAATTACAGATTTTTCAAATTTTAAGTGAGTTTGATCGAAGTATGTATAACTTTTTTCAAGAGACTAAGAAAATTTAAAGGGTGTCGAAATAGGAAAGATTCCGTTATAGCTTTATATGACAAGAATTATTGACAATATTTTCTTAGAAAAAGGAATTATTTAACTGTACTCATAAAATTTTAAATATAAAATATACAGTACATGCATTAATGCTTATATGAATGAACTACGTAAATTAGCTTAAAATTGTGTGTCGAACTGTCGATTATACTTTGATTTAATCTATGTATAGTATGTTTCACTATCGATTGAATTTCGTGTAAAGTATAATGAGTATTTTTATGTAATCTACGGCCCGAACACGAACTTTTGTCAGCTCCCGTAATCGTATCGCATCGTCAGTTTCTATGAAAACTAAGCAGCGCCTCTACCGGACGTAACAAGAAACTGGCTACTTTTATGCAAAATTTAAGGATACGATACGATTGCGGAGCTGTCAAAGTTCGTGTTCAGTACCTTCAGCACGAACCAATATCGAATTCGAATAGTTTCCGAGTGCGAAATGTCATTGTCAAAGGTGTACTGATGTTTAGTTCTCGTTACGTCCGTTGAGGCGCTGCTTTTCAAGTTTCCATACAAAATTTGACAATGACATTTCGCACTCGCAAGCTATTCGAATTCGATATTGGGTCGTGCTAAGGGTACGGGTCTCTAGTGTAACAAAAAAAGTTACATATTCGTCTATCTCGCTCATTTTTAAACAATTGGTTACCTTAAAGTTGTGCCTTCATTACCGATAACTCCATACTATATAATGTGCCAGAATCAACTTATTTGAAAGTTCTTTCAAAATCAGTATTAATTGCGTAGCAAAACTACCTACTAATGTACTTACTTCCTTTTCGATGAAATCACGAATTGTATTTGTCCTACGTGTTAGGTTAGATTGATATTTAAAAGATATTATAATTAATAATTATTGACGGTTTATTTGTTCGTTGTTTCTTATCTTTTAGTCGATATTGTCGTTTATTTGTGACGAGTGACAGCGGGCTCTGTACGCCAACGACATGTTTAAACGATGAAACATAATAAAATGTTTAACTTAACATCAAATCTTATAAGTACTTGACAAAAAAATTACGTTTTCTAGACGTGACTTGAACCAATGGCCTTTTACCAACCGTTTTTTTATTTGAATATCTATATTAAAGGACAATGGGCAAAACGCACTCAGCTCCGCCAACAATGTAATTAGTATGAATTGATAGATCTATAAAAAAATCTAGAAAAACTAGCCTTTTTTATTATGACACCGAAAATAAATATCCTGGGAGTCAAAAGATATGATACCGTAAAAAATATCCTGGTAGGCAATAGATATGACACATGGGCATATTTAAGTAGCTGAATAAATTCATTTTATAGTACCTTCATTTTATATTATTAGTAAACATAATAATATGCCATATCGTACTATACAACCTAGATATACGACAAAGCCTGCCGACCATCCTGCGCTTGCTCTTACTAAGACATTTCAAAACGGTTTACGGATGATGAAGGACTTGCGGTTGCAAATAGCGACTCGTCTTAGTACGTTGTGATTGTGCGCTCCCTGCTACTTGATTGATTTTTATCTAACTCGCTTTGGATATTGGAACACGATTATCGGTCTTGTCAATTAGTATGGATGAACTGGAATCATGTGTTCTCCGAAGCGTGGGCAAGTTCGTGTAATCTGTGGTCGCTCCTTTTTAAAAAAACCCAACCCATGCGGGGAAAATTGGATTTACTCTACCGCGACAGAATAACATAACGGGGCACCCTTGCACCTTGTGAAGTACTCCCATAATACCTGAGCATCCTATGTAGGGTCGAACTAACTAACTAAATTAATTCCCTTGTTTCATTAATGTTCGTTCGTTAAAGTACTTGTACATATTTAACTTAAAATAACTAAAGAGCCCCGGGATGAGATTTGATTTGGCACAGATGATCATGACTATAACACCTTTCAAACAAATGTAAGCAAGTAACAAATTTAAGCCGTGGCGGACGTGGGTGCAGCGTCCATACATTGTTGCCCAATGTCCTTTATTTATGACAATTTGATTTTAGAATGCTATCTAAAATCAAATTGTTATAAATAATTAATTGTATATGAATTTGTAGTCAGTTTCGCATATTCTTAGATTTATTCAGGGAATAAATGGTTTCGTGGCGTACAGGGCACAGTGGTGCGCTTACGTTCAAAATACCAATAGTTCCAACGCGTACTCATAATTAAATATATTTTAATTTAGTCACAAAATATTTCTTTTATATAATTCTCATATCTTTCTTCAACTGTGATTATACTGACCCTTATCGCGTCTTTGCGAATGCCAATTTCGTTATAGTTATAAAATAATTATTGTAACTAACAGAGTTATTATCTTACTGTATGTATTTAGTATACAGAAAGGTATATATAATCATGACGTTTCAAATAAGTGTCTTATAGATTAAATAAGTACTTAATATCTTAGGCAGCTAGAATCGATTTGAGCATAAAAAAGAGATTTATAATTATTGTATTGTTGTTCTAGAGCCTTTGAGTAGATTTAGTGCCTTACACAGCCTAGACATAGATTAATTTATATTTAAGCACGTTGTCCACCTGTTGTTGTTACTGGGTAGCTATTTATTAACATGTCAATTAGGACATAACGGATTTTAAAATAGAAGCATGCCTCCGCAATATAAGATTGTTTTAAGTCTAATGTACATTTACATTCACTCCATTTATATTTAACATTAAATGCAATGCGTTTGTACATAATCTGTGTCAATTTATGATAATTTTGATAATCTTTCTGTCACTCGAACTTCATTGTGTTAATTAAAGTTTTTTACAACATACACATATTTTCCTAGTACGTACTTATGTACAAATAATCATCGAAAAATTAAATGCATGTATATCAAAAGTATTACTTAAACAACCAATTAATATTCTATATTCTTTTGTATGTTCTAGGAATGTCCAATCCCGTGCATTTCAAGATGTTTATATGGGGGTGTAAATAGTTCGGTTTCAGAGCGGTTTTAATTTTTTCTTATATCTGTTATTTTATGATATATGTACATAAAAATGCATTGGCAGCCTGATTATACCCAGTGATTTTAATTTCCATTTTATTTGTCATATTTCCGACTATTTGGATTGATTGACAATCAGTTGTATAATTAAGTATTACAATTCTTTGAAAATTTTTTTAAGAAAAGATTTAATGAAATACATGAAAGAATGCTGACCTGCCTACCGCTGTAGCTACCTCAGGGGACCAAAGTACTTTCAGTGTGTACGTTATTTCTGTTACATACTGTATAAAAGGGTAAAATTCAAAGTAACAGTAGTATGTCAAAAGGCGTAGCTCTCCTTATGGCCGCCACTAAGGCATATCGGACCAAACTTCTTGCAGGTTCTACTCGGTACAAGGTCTCCCGCGGAAGTTTTGCGAACCAATGGCGTAGCTTCTTGACCTTCACGAGTGCTGTACACAGCCTAGACTAAATAAATTATTTTCGAGTTTAGTTAACTATTGTAGCTGTTGTAGCTGACGTTATTCTTATAAAAAGCGAAAATTTTATAATCTATACTTGTACTTTAATTGGACATTCTCAGTAACACTACGAAAATACCCTATATTTTTATAATGAATACATTTGTCATCACAAAATTATATTATTTACGTATCTGTATGAATGTGATTTTCTGAGTGTTTACATTTTTGTAAATTATTTTGTAACCATTATCTTCTGTAATATGCCAAATGATCACATTGTTAATAAGATTTGTTAGAAAATACAGAATATGAAATAAATTGTTCTCTCTGTTTTTAAACAACCTTTCCAATCTCCTAAAACAAAGCCACATCCTCCGATTGATAATTCCACTAGCATATTGATTACTGTACTCAGTTTGTAACGTGGCTGCAAGCAACGTTAGCTTGGACTTTATATACCCCTGAGGCTTGGATACGGGATATTAATAATGTATTTATTAATCATATACTTCTTTTAGATATAATTAATCTTCATTCATTTTTATATTTTTGCACTTCGTTTTTTCAGTATTTAATTTGACACATCAATTTTTAGTTTTATCATTATTTATGTGTAGTTTATAATTATCAATAATGTTTTCACGATTAAAATATCACACCCGATCCTATAGCATATACTTTCCTTTCAAGTGTCCCAAAAATGATAATCTGGTTACCATACACGTAATCATAACTGAGATTTAAATAAAGCAGAATATTTCTTTAAATATTATTTAGAGCAATAGTATTTGAATACAATCTTGAACTACAGTACAAGTTTTCAAGAATAAATCAGTAGGGTCAAAATTTTTCATGAATTCATTTTTGAGCGTTTTTACCGAGAGCCCACTTTTTAGAGTTAATAGTACGAAAACCATGACCCCACATTTGCATTTTCTGGAAACATTTTCCTTTCAATATGTGTTTTTATAACAGAAAGCTGAGGTCCGAAAAAACTAAAAAGTCACCAAAGTTATATGAAAATTAACTTTTTGACGGGAGATTTTGCGATTGAAAATAAATTCTTTTTTTCGCAATAATATCAATAAAGGTGCTTTAATGGAAAAAAAATCGAAAAAATAGAGCGTTTGGGACATAAGAATGTAAGATCTGCGAAAAATCAAAATAAACGAATTTGCGTTTATTTTGATTTTTCGCAGATCTTCTTAGGCTACCTATGTGAAAAAAGTGTAAATAGAAAAGTTGTAAGTAGATCTTTTGTTTACCTATCATTTTGCCATTGATATTTTTTTGATAGATGTTGTAGTTTTCCCGAGAATTGCGATTTTAAACCGTTTGAGCCCTTGGCAGGTAAACTTTTTTTCCAACAACCAATATTGGTAAGTGTGAGGACGGAGTAGCACATAATGTATGTATAAGGAGTAAGAAATAAAACCAGCTTCTTTATAAACTAATGTTTTATTTTTGAGTTAATTTATAATTCAATATTAGATTAATATAAACAGGTAAGAAATTATTTATAGAATTCATATTCACTTTCGTCTTTCTTGATGTTGTTCTTGTAGCCCTTTTCGAAATCTTTTGGAAGAACAATATATCTGTAAGCAAAAAGTGTAGTGTAAGATCTAGTTTGACGACCTCCGTGGCCGAGTGGTTTGTACGCCGCGTTTCATGGTGTCGCCGACTCGAGAGGTCCCGGGTTCGAATCCCGGTGGGGGCAGATGTTTGTGTGATGAATACGAGCATTTGTACTCCAATCATGGATGTTTAATATGTATTTCTATATAAATATACTTATATATGTACAATATATGTATTCTATCCGTTACCCTAGTATCCCATAACACAAGCCTTACAGTGCTTACTTCGGGGCTACGCTAATTGGTGTGAGTTTTGGTAATATTTATTTTATTTTATTTACTTAGTTAGTATTTAGTCTAGGTAATATTTTATTACCAAGAAACAACAACTTTGTTAGCACATCTTAGGCTAAGCGATAGTACATAAAATAATAATAAACATGATATTATGTCGAGGTTTTTTGTATCATTTGTCTATTTTTTTAATCAGTAAAATTACATTAGAAGAGGTAAAATCCTTCACAGGTACACAAAATATTGACTTTGTTAAGGGGACTTCCTGAAACAACTTTAACTAAGAACAAAAGAGTGTCAAATATTCCCAATCGATTATGAATTTTGTATTCAGCAAGATAAAGAACGAAGGAATAATGAACTGTCAAGTGTGAACTGGAAATATATTTGAGGCTATCAGCGCAAAAGCGGCCTAACCCTCATATTCCGATTCATTTTCTACAATAAATAAAAATGTGTTAAACTTTAATTCAAAATCGGCCTATCTCTTGTTTCACCAGGCGTCAATACATGGCGTTGCAAAAGTTCTTTTTGCATTGATTTTTTTCTCAACGTAAAGTTCATAAGTGGCCTTAGCTGCTTAATCAGAATGACTCAAAAAAATCCAAGTCCAATCCAAGTGCAAGTTGTGGGTTAGGCCACTTGCGCTGACAGCTTTATTTATACCTGTTCTCCCTGACAGCATGCATGCCAGCTTCTTGGCAGATGGCGTTGATGTCAGCGCCTGAAACGCGGTCCGGTCTGGCTACGAATTCTTCCAAATCCACCTCTTCTGAAAGATTCATCTTCGCCGTAATCGTTGAGAAGATCAACCGCTTCTGACGCCTAAAACAATAAATATGCATAAATAAAAATTTTAAGCACCATCACAGTTCGCAGATGTACATGTACTGTATTGTGAGCCTACATCTGTCGATTTATTTAGAGAAAGAGTATAACAACAGGATGAACAAAAAAATCAATGAAAAAACAATATCAATCAACGCAAGCTAAAAAGGGTCATTCTCACGTCACACATTTAGGAGAAGAGAGCGGGTCGACGAAGTGTTACATTTGTATGACGAGGTTGGGAGCCTTCCAAGTTTTGTGAGGTCACATTTCAAAATCTAATACTTACTTTTGAACTACATCAAAAATCTTCAAAATATTTTATAGGTTTTAATTTGCTTTGTTGGCTAATTTTATGAACTGCTGTTTTAATTTTATAATTTATAGATGCAAAATATGTGACGTCACATTAGGGAAGGGACTAGGACTAAAAAAATCACAAAATTAATGTGACGTATTTTATGAATGACTCCAAAGGATAACATTTTACCTGTCAGGAAGTGGAAATTCAATTTTCCTATCAAGACGTCCAGGTCGTAGCAAAGCAGGATCCAAAGTGTCGGCACGGTTAGTTGCCATTATAACCTGTACAACAATTTAACTATTAATTAATATTACAGTAAATTTAACTTTTACAGAAGATAGATAGGAGAAAAACTTACTAAATAATTTTAGTAAGGTCAGCTTGAGGAGCTCTATGGCGCAAGTGGTTAGTGCGTTTATTGAAATAAGCAGCTCTCGCAGTGGTTGGTCATTGGATGGGTGACTAAAATTTTACTTTTTAATCCCGAGCTCCGTGCTTCGGAAGGCACGTTAAACCGTTGGTCCCGGCTATATCTGCAGTCGTTAGCACCCACAAATGTGCACTGTGCGTGGTGGGTCATGGCCCAATCTCCCTTGTCTAACTATAGGGAAGGTTGTGTCCCAGCAGTTGGGACATTAATAGATGATGAAGGTCAGCTTAATCATGTTACTTTGCTCATTGGTTTTTACAGCAATTTGAAAAATGGGTATAAAAACCAGATAACCTCACCTTTACATTAGTAGTTTGGTCAAAGCCATCCATCTGATTCAACAGTTCAAGCAGAATTCTTTGCACTTCCCTGTCAGCGCCAGTCTGAGCATCGAATCTTTAATAGATTTCAAATATTTCGTCTGAATAACAACTTCAATGTGAAAACCATTATGTTAATACTAATACCATACACAAAACTGCGTTCAACGTCGCATTTGAGACAAATCTATCGGCCCATCTAGCATTTTAAGTTTTGACGGTCCCTAGCTTAACATAAATGTTACATTGAGCAAAAAGTTATTGCAGGTTTGAAGCTGATTTAAAAACCATATTTTGGTGTGTTTTTAAAATTATTTCTCAATCATAAACATATATTTTTTTGCCACAGGCCATTGAAACTCATAATACTAAGTGGGTCAATAGATGTGTCCGGAAGTATACATACAATCTTCATCGACATATTATTCCATGTATTTACAAATTCAATTAATGAATACCCTTTATCAAATTAAGATATTTTTATGACAATACATTAACATATGAATGCAAATACAAAAGACAGCTTAATTACTATGATAGCAATCTCTACCAGGTAATTTTTAAATAAAAGGAACAATACTAAGTAAGCGGTTTTGTGTTTGGATCCTTATATAAGAAAATGTAAAAACTTTGTGTACCTTTTAGTAGCAATGGCATCAATTTCATCAATGAAAATGATAGCTGGACTGTTTTCCTTGGCAAGACGAAAGACATCGCGCACCATACGCGGCCCCTCTCCTAAATATTTTTGCACAAACTCTGATCCCACCACACGAATGAATGCAGCTATTGACAAAAAAGGGGTTATTGTCAATTTGGTTTATCTCTCACTACACCTTACACTTGTACTATCAGGTGAAGTTGAGAATTCCATTATCGTGATAATACAGAATATCATGATAGTTATAATAAGTCATACAAAACATACATAAACATGATCATACTGAAAAAAAAAAATATAGGTATATCAGACTAAATTGACATAAAATATTTTATTTTGAACTGACAGTGGGAATAGTTATTGATATTGACATAAATTTGAATTTAAATTATAATGATAAAATACTTGTTAATGAATGATAGGTAAATGTAATATGACTGTTATGTTTTAATATGTTAGAATTTTGTGCATGCTATTAAAATGGCTAAATAGGTTTAAGATTCTTAGCTTTTAACATATGCTTTATATGCAAACACCTTTTGTCAACCCTATTTAATGCAAATAAAGATTATTCTATTCTATTCTAACATAAAAATTCTTTCTGGTTTGGCTCAATCCGGGTTGCACAAACTTGATTCTTATTAAAATTTGCTATGAGTTTGAGAAATGTATCATATGTACTTGAATTTTTCTCCTTGCACTGATAATAAATAACTTTAAATATAGATAATTTCTATAAAATCTTTACTAATAATAAATATCCTAGAGTTTCTAAGTTGCATGCTAACTATTTATGTCCGTGAATGGATACATATGTAGTAATCTCTAATTGTCAAATAAAGTGGCCCACCCTTGCTTCTCTTTGGTGTAGACTATAGAATATAAAGCCTTTGACAACTAAAATGGCTTTCTATTAGTAGAAGAATTTTCAAAATCTCTTTAGTAGATTCAGAAGATTATCTCAAAAACTTTATCTCTTTATAATATTCCAGCTGATCAGATTCTTACCAGTAGTGTGATGAGCTACAGCTTTTGCCAACATAGTTTTTCCACAGCCCGGAGGTCCATACATAAGGACACCACGTGGAGGCTCAATGCCGATCTGTCTATAGAGTTCGACATGTGTCAGTGGTAACTCCACAGCTTCTCTGATCTCTTGCTTCTGTGTATCCATACCACCAATATCGGAGTATTGTACGTCAGGTTTTTCATCTGAAAATTAAAATAAGTATAGATCATACAAAAATTATTAGTATGACACTGTCCTTTACTGTGTGAATGTGTAGCAGCTTTTGCATTGCGTTCGCTGGAGCTACAAAATATAGTTTTAATTAATGGACTTGCTAACTATTATAGCAATCTATATTTTTACATCTTAAAATAAGATAATAGAAGAAAATTATAGTCTCCTTAATTTTAATTGCTTGTTCCCAGTTATCCCCTTTGCAGAGCAAAATTGCTTATATGCCTCTTCTGTGTCGCTTAAGAATAAACTTTTTCAGTTTTTATTTAATGTTAATTTTTAAGCAGCAACAAAGTGAAGTTGCTGCTCCACTGTTTTTATCTATAAATAAATGACCCACTAATAGAAAATCTTGCATTCATAAAGTATAAATAGTTGCAATTCTGTACAACAAAGGTTTTGTAATATTTTCAATAGGAAATTTTAATTAATATAGTTGCTATTATTACCTGCTTGCAACATAGAAATCGAACTATCTGCTTCTGGAGGAAGCACATCTACAAGGGCATTTGAATGTTTATGGAGTGCCACTGATGCGGACGGTTTCAACAACTCCCTGTCTATAGTTGACAGAATACGAACATAGTAGTTGGACCCTGTTGTGCTACCAACTGTAAACAAAAACACTCTAATTAGGTAAGTCTTTTAAAAAAATGTTATTGTCACTTAGTTTTTCGAATCCCACTGGTACCTAATAATAAAAAGTATTCTTTGTCCCATTCTAGGTAATAAACTGTATATGTATGTACCTTTCATCCAAATCCATTCAGTAATTATTGCATGATTGAGTAACATACATACAAACCACTACCATATTTTTAATATTATTTTTGTAAATGTAAATACACACCAATTCCAGTGTTTTGATCAACAGCTTCAAGAAATTGTCCAATCACTAATGGTACAGACTGAATACGCTTCACTTCCTCTTGTGCATGGAGGTATTCCTTCTTCAAGTTTCTTTGTTCATCTTTAATGTATTCTTCTTGGACTTCTAAGAATTCTAGCATACGCTGTAGTTTCTGTAAAACATTATAAAATATAAAAAAGAGGAATGCTGTGGTTACTTGCAACATTTTAAAAAGAAACTACTTACTAATAAAGCATTATTTACCTTGTATTTGGTATAGAGATCTTCAGATTCCAGTTCTTCGAACGATTGGGGTCCAGCAAAGGAAAGCCCCTTGACATCGGTAGTTTGATCATCCTAAATAAAGTAACATAGTTTTAAGACATTTACTAGCATTCTACATTACGATATTAAAATCTTTATAACAAACTTACTTTTTCAGGCAAAATTATACCAATTTCTTCCATTTTTAATGAATTCTTCAAAATATAACTACAGCAATCGCTCAAAATGAAACAGCAAGAATTGTTTAATCGCGACACTAACTGTCAATGTCAAAATGAAGCTTCAAAATAAACGCCGTGTCATGACTATTCCGTTCCATGCAGTAAGTTGTAGTTTAGAATGAAGTATTGTTACAATAATTAAAATACATTTTGTATAACATGATGGTATCACAGTGGTGGATATGTTTTTAAACGATGTTTACTATAACGCAAGTAAAGATTAAAGGTTCTTCCATTTAGGTGCGTTATTATTATAGAATGCTTTATATTATTGCGATAATGGTGTCGATTCTGGCATAATTCTTACAAAAAGAAATGACAAAAAGCGCATTGAATGGTCTTTAGGCTTAGGGTTAGAAGTTTTTACAGGTATAAGTGCGATTTAAATAAGAAAGCCAATGACCTCCATCTGTCAAATATCGCTCGAAAAGTACGGTTTGCAAAAAAAAACTTGGAACCCTTTTTTAGCACTCAGCTAATTCTAGAATAAAAACCAAACATTTGTAAACAAACAATAACAAATATTGATAATTAATATTGGTTTATATATTTTTTCATTTATTGAGTTTAGGTTATGAATGGTGTCGATTCTGGCATGATTCTCTAAATCTAAAGTTAAATTTGACAACAGTGTATCCTTGTCATTCTCAATACAGAATGAAAAGGAGAGACTGATGTTAAATTTAGTTTTAAGTTTAGAGAATCACGCCACAATCGATACCAATGGTTGATAACCAAGTTGATAACCTAAATCGTCAACCAAATGTCTCTTTAAGTTGCGTTCAGAAACTCCATTTAAAACTTTCGTTTACATAAAGGGTGCATGTTCGTATGTGACCTAGTAATAGTGCATGATTATTCATAACTACTCCGGCGGTAATGCAGAGATGAGCGGAATTGAAGAGCTAGATTCTGATTAATGTCTTTTCTCACACAGTCTTAATAATAAATATTATTAAAAATTGGTTGTTTTTTTTCTCAATCTTAGTAAATAAATTTTATAAAGAAAATCTGATGTTTTTTCTCACTTAATCTTAGCAAATAAGATTTATTAAATAAAATATTTTTTTTGCTCGCTCTACCTATTTGGGTTGAATTGACAGCTATGAAATCACAATATGGCGCCCAGTCGGTCCTATTCTTAGTTGAATTGCATATCATTGTAGGGTTGCATGAGTAAAAACCGCCACAGGTGAGGAAATTCGGCACATTCAATCACTTTACCCTTTGGAAGTGAAAAACGCCGATCTTACCCACTCCCACTTTGTGAAACGTAAATTTACAAAGAGGAGTTTTTGGCGGGATTTCATCGAGTCCGGTTGGCGTCTTATTTTAATTATTCTTAAATTCGTTCATAGTGGATATTGTGAAATAAAATTGGTGTGATTTTGTGTTACAACTGCCTGCGTAACTGAAGAATTAGTAGAATGGTCAAAATATACGCTATTCCGGTTAAGTGGACGTGAGAATTTTATTGTAGTATTGACTACCTCACAGAAGCTTATCGAAAAAGCCAGTTCGATATATTTCGTGCCAAACACTTCAAGAAACATTAGAATGCGTCACACCGACATTCTAATGTAAAAAGAAAAACAGAATAATTTAACTTAAGACTTGGCTGTATGGGCATTGTTCCCTTTGCCTTCCCTGAAAAGGGAGAACTTAATAAAAATAAAAAAAATTACAAACAATGCACCCCGACTATAGATGTAAAACAACCGATTTAAAACGTTTTAAACCCCAAATAAATGGTTTTAAACGGTTGAAAACTGGCATACAAAAATAAAATAACTATGTTTTTTACACTTTATGGGAATGACTGCCGGCGGAGGCGGCCTTCCCTTTTCTTGAGGAACACAGGCGCGAAGAAACGAAACACAGAACTTCGTAGAATATATTTAATGTATGCACATTCACAATACAAGATTGAGTTTCGTACTCTAGGTACATAGTATGAACAGTTACTACGCGACACGTCTGTACCGAAGAGTCGCGCCTGAGCAAGAGATCGCTGTGGCGTTCTATTGCCAACCACCCGATCATTGCGGCGTCGTTGCCAACATAACGAAAATATCGTGGCGTTCGGAAACGCCACACCACCCCCCCACGGAGTAGGATAAATTGCAAAAATAAAACTTAGCTTAATTACACTACGTATGGTAAAGGAACAATTACTATGTAAACACTAAAAGTAGAAATAGTCAATTTGGTCTTTAAATTTGACCTGCCGGCCGGACCGTGTGGTCACTGTCTGTTTGTCTGGTAGAGGGACTATATCAGAGGGAGGGATGATTGGTTGGGTTGGGACAGGGTTCTGAGCTGAGGGGCTTGCAGGTGTGATAGTTTGTTGAGCTAACGGCGAAGTAGCGTCCTGATCAATGTAGGCCGGTTTTATGCGGTCGACGCTTACCACAACCTGTTTGCCCTTGATATCAAGGGTGAAGGTTTTTCCATCTCTGGATCGGTCTACTATGGCGAAAGGACCTGTGTAGGGAGGTTGTAATGGACGTCGAACGGTATCGTCGCGCAAAAATGCGTGGGATGCAATGGAGAGATCCTTAAAGACAAAGGTTGCTCGCTTGTTGTGGTGTGAAGCAGGTACCGGTCGTATCTCGGACATCCTTCGTCGTAGTCGCGTTACATAATCTGCTGGATCATCAGATGTTTCTGTGCCGGGTGGAGGGGTCAGCATCTCACCGGGTAAGCGTAGAGGTTCGCCGTAGAGCATCTCCGCTGTGGAAGTTTTCAAGTCCTCTTTGAAGGTGGAACGCATTCCGAGCAGGACGAGGGGAAGTGATGAGAGCCAAGAGTCACAGCGACACATGAGGGCCGCTTTTAATTGGGTTCGATCATGCCGTTAGCACACGGGTGATAGCTTGTAGTTCTGGTACGTTTCACTGCACAGTGGTGTAGGAGTCGGTTGAAAAGATCGGACTCAAATTGACACCCTTGATCAATCTTGAGAAATCCAACCCTGCATGAAAGTGTCGGCAACCTCTTCAGCAGTTATGCCAACCATCGGCCAAACCTCCGGCCAGCGGGTGTAACGGTCGATGGCAGTTAAACAGTAAGAGTAGCCTTTACATATCGGCAGAGGGCCGATGATGTCGATATGGACATGTTGCAAGCGGGCTGACGGATTGCTGAAATGACCAGTATGCGAGACATTGTGTCTGGTGACTTTACTTTTTTGGCAAGGTATGCAGGATTGTACCCATCTGTGACAGTCTTTTTTGACTGAAGGCCAGACGAAGCATTCAGACACCAAACGAGCGGTTGCCCGAGCGCCAGGGTGACTGAGGTTGTGCAGTTTTTGGAATATCGCACGTCGGAAGGACGGGGTGATATAGGGACGTGGTCGTCCAGTGGACATGTCGCAGAGAAGGTCCAAGTCAGTTCCAGGTATTGGGATCTTTTCGATTTTTAGAGATGATTAGGGAACGATGTTGCGCAACTCGTCATCGTGTTGCTGCGAGATGGCGAGTGCAGCAGAGTCTTCTTCCAGGGAGATCATTTCAATGCGAGAGAGAGCGTCAGCGACTACGTTGTCTTCCCCTTTGATATAAACTACATCAGTGGTAAATTGGCTGATGAAACTAAGCTGGTTTAGTTGGACAGGCGGAAGTTTCTCACGACGCTGTTTGAATGCGAACAGGAGGGGCTTGTGGTCGGTATATATGGTTGCATGTTGGGCTTCCAAGATGTGTCGAAAGTGCTGCACACTTTCATACACCGCCAGGAGCTCCCTATAATATGCAGGCCACTGAGATTGTCGTGGACTTAGCTTCTTGCTGAAAAAACCGAGTGGTTGCCAAGCATCACCAACACGTTGTTGAAGACAGGCACCGACATGGATGCTGGATGCATCTGTGAAGAGACCCAATGGAGCATTGCAGATGGGATGAGCGAGCAAGGTTGCCGTGGAGAGGCTCTCCTTGCACACTTCGAATGCTTTGTGCAGCTCGGGTGTCCATGGCACAGGTTTCGCACCTTTGCCGTTGATGCTGACAATAGCGTCGTTAAGGGGGGCCTGGACTTTCGCTGCCTGGGGAAGGAATCGACGGTAGTAATTAAGCATACCGAGAAAACGGCGTAACCCTTGTACGGTTTTCGGCGGTGGGAACTCCATAATGGCCTGGATGCGTTCGGCGGGTGGTTGTGTACCTGCAGCGCTGATTTTGTAACCCAGGAAAGTAAGCTGGTGGACGCCGAGTGTGCATTTTGCGGCGTTGAGTACTACGCCGTAGTTCTCAAAACGCTTGAAGATTTGGCGCAAATGTTCGACGTGTTGTGCGGAATTCTGGGAGAAAACGAGAATGTCATCTACATAAGCAAAACAGAAGGTGAGACCGTGGAGCACTTCGTTAATGAAGCGTTGGAAGGTTTGGCCAGCATTGCGCAGACCAAACGACATGAAGGGAAACTCGAAGAGTCCGAATGGGGTGGTGATGGCCGTTTTGCACACATCCCTGGTGGCTACTGGGAATACCAATATGGGAATGACTGCCGGCGGAGGCGGCCTTCCCTTTTCTTGAGGATCACAGGCGCGAAGAAACGAAACACAGAACTTCGTAGAATATATTTAATGTATGCACATTCACAATACAAGATTGAGTTTCGTACTCTAGGTACATAGTATGAACAGTTACTACGCGACACGTCTGTACCGAAGAGTCGCGCCTGAGCAAGAGATCGCTGTGGCGTTCTATTGTCAACCACCCGATCATTGCGGCGTGGTTGCCAACATAACGAAAATATCGTAGCGTTCGGAAACGCCACACCTTCATTATGGTAAATTTTTGGTCACCTGACGTCATGTTTCGTTTTACTTAGTACATTACCTATGTACCACGAATACTTAAGTAGGTATGTAGGTACCTTCATACTTTAGCACTTATTTATTATACATATATTATATAACACACACTAGATTAAAATAAAGGACATCATTAATGGGGCTACCACACGCACGAGCTTCACCACAGTTTTGCCTGCGCAGGCCGGTTTGTACACGGAACACGGTA